ATTTATTTAGTTTTTATCTGAGAATAAAATGTGACACTGGAGGCTGGTTTACAGCGTCTTCCTGCAGTGGAAATGAGCACCCGGCTCAGAGCACAAGTGATTTATGAATCAGTCAGAAAATTGCAGCTGCTGGCCACATAGGCGCTGAGTCACACTCATTGATTAACAACGGTATCAACAACTCATACTGTAGTTGTATTACAGTAATTTTGTATTATGACACAGATGAGATCTCAGCTACTATGACTGTGTTCTTTAAAAATGAACATAAAAATGAATTCACACTGTGTTTCTTGTTGTTATTTTTATTCTTTAAGGTTAAATTTAAGGTGTATTTTGGTTTCAGTAGGTCTCACTAAACACCATAAACTGGACTTGATCCTGATTTCCTTCCTCATTAAAGAATTACTGAAATGTGTCCAATCAGGCAGCATTAAAACTGGAATGTCTCAACTCAGCAGGTTTACCTCATTTAAATTAGAGGACTGCTATCAACAGCTACCAGCAGCCAGGACTTCATTATATGATTGCATAAATGCCACATACATAATTTAAAACTTTATTACTCTTTCCCAGTACTCATATGAGGGGGGTCTTATTGTATTAGTGTTGCAAGGATTCTTTTGAAAGTCTATCAAAGGACTAGTGTGTAAGATTTAGGGGGATTTAGAGGCCTTTAGTAGTAAATATTGCACATTGCAACCAGCTGAAACTTCTCCCAGTTAGAATTCCTTCACTGTGCATCATTCAGGAGGTTCTTAGCAGGAGCCAAATTATCCACAGAGGTCTCTTCTTCTCTAAAACAAACAAACAAGGTGATGAAACGGGTAATAACACTAGTGAGGCAATTTCACGCTAAAAACCTTGTTGGAGAAGGGCTACTAGCCTTGCACATGCTAATGTGCTTCACTAACCTAAGATACAAACATTTAAGAGTTTGTTTCTGGGAGCTGACATATCCACAGAGGTCTCTTCCTCTCCAGCACAAATGGATCCTGTGATTTAAACCGGTATAAACACTGAATAAAGCAGTTTCACAATAAAAAAAAGCAGCATTTTCTGATGCTGCTTGACACAGAGGGGCTGCTTACTACCATGGCTGACACAAAAACGCAAATGGCCCTCTCCAGAGCCAGTGTTTGGTTTGTTCCTTTTGGGCTAATGTAGAAAGATGGTGGTGAAACATGGCAATCTCTGTAGACAAGGACCCCCTCCATATGTAGATATAAACAGCTCATTCTAAGGTAACGAAATTACAACAGTTCTTATTTTCAAGAGATTATACATTAAAGAAAACATACTTATTATATTATATTCCAAAACAGACATATTTAAAGTAGATGTCAAAAGTTGTGTGTAATTTTTAAGACCAGTCCTCACAATTTACTTACTCTACATATGTTAAAAGGTCCAGTGTGTAGGGTTTAGGGAGATATATCAGTATAAATAGAATGTAATATAATAAGTATGTTTTCTTGGGTGTATAATCATCTCAAAAGAAGTACCGTTGTGTTTTCATTACCTTAAAATGAGCTGTTTATATCTACACAGATTGGGTCCTTGTACACAGAGTTTGCCATGTTGCACTGCCATTTTTCTACAGTAGCCCAGGACAGACAAACTAAAAACTGGCTCTAGGTGGGGCCACTTGCATTTTCACATTTTCACGTCAGCCACTGTAGTTAGCAGCCCCTCCACAACAAGAGCATTAGAAAACCTCTTTTTTTGTCATGTGAGACTGCTTTATTCAGTGTCTTTAGTGGTTAAAATCACCTGGTCTGTTTGTTTTACAGAAAAAGAGACCTCTGCAGATAATTCAGCTCCTGGTTAAAACCTCCTGAACGTCTGGAACAAGAATAAGGTGAGCACACAGTAGCATGCAGTGGGCTAGGAGCCGGTGTATGACATGCTGCACAGCGTGGGAGAAGCGCTGTTCTGTATGTAAACTGCCTTATTTGGTGTTTTTACTGGTTTAAATCAGCAGGCCCTTTTGTTTTGGAGAGGAAGAGACCTCTGTGGATAATTCAGCTCCCAGTAAAAACCTCCTGAATGATGAATACTGAAAGAATTCTAACCAGGAGAAGTTCAGCTGGTTTAAATCTGCAATCATCACCACTAGATGCCACTAAATCCCCCTAAATCTTACACACTGTTCCTTTAATGTCTCACTTTATTTACTGTACTGTATTTTTGGTTAAATACATTATAGTATGTTGTTTGGATTACTTAAACTTGGTCTTCACATTCTGTAATTAGCAAATACATTTATTTGCAAACCATCATTCTTTTCTTCAGCCACATAATATCTGAAACAATGATATAGGAGCTTAACTGCAGTAAAAAGCTCAGACAGCTACAGCTCCTTACACCCGAGTGACTACAACTGCAGAGTAAAGGAAACATCAATTTGCGAGTCATTTTGTAGTAAAGCCGGAGTGAATACACGTCTGCAAAGACAGCATGAGCCTGAAAGGGGAAGCATGCCAATACTTGAAAGGTGGTTCAGGTGGTATTTTGAATATGTAACGCAACGTCTGGCAGACAGAGATTTGATGAACATAAGGAGAGGGTTGTAAACCACAGAGAGACATCTATAAATACTCACGCAGATTTATCTTGATTTATAGGCCCATGTCTGAGTTATTGTGAGGATATGAAACCAAAATCAGATTTCTATTTACAGCTGTGAGAGTGTTGCAGGTAATAAGCTTGCTGTTCTAATATCATCCTAAGATCACAACAAACTAATGTAGTGTATCTCACTGAAATCACAGAGTTGAAAGAGATCGCATTATAGCGTATTAGTTTATATCTACAACCTAGGCAACAGTTAAAGGTCCAGTGGGTAACTTTTTTTGGCATTCATTACAAAAGGCAGATAAAATAAAAAATATGATGCTCTTCTGCCTCCTCAAAATGTTTCTGCGTAGTGCAACAATAACGAAAACAGCCATCAGAGCCAAGGAGTTTCTAATGTAGCTGTCAATCATGTCAATCACTGCTCCTGAACTGTGGTCAAACTGTCACCTCAAGTGTTTACAGACATATTTTAGTGCACCGTTTAGCTGTTAAACAAGTTTGCACTAGTTGATGGGCAGTATTTTGTTTCAGTTTGTCTATTTCCAAAATGGCAGCTGGGTCACCCTCCCAGTCGCCAGAGGAAAACATTTGACATTATACATTTCTGCAAACCATGCGTACGTTGTACCAAACCTGGGTGGGGTTTTTTCAACACATTGCAACATTTCTTAGCGCTTTTTGCACCCCCAAACCTGGGTGTTTTTCACTGAGAAATCACACCATTCAGTGGCATTTGAGCCACCAGAACTGGGTGTTAATTATCGTCACATTGCTGAATTTCCCAGCACTGTTTCAGATACAGAACCTGGGTGTTTAAAGCAACACTTTGTGGCATTTTCCAGCTGCATTTGAGCCAATGAACCTGGCTGTTTTTTACCAATACATCGCACCATTTCCAAATGACATTTGAGCCATCAAACCTGGGTGTTTTTAGGGGCACATTGCAATGTTTTCTGGCAGCATTTAAGTCACCAAACCTGGGTGTTTTTCATCGGTGCAATGTGGCATTTCCCTTAAGCATTTGAGACACTGAACTTGCATTTTTATTTTACTGTGAAACTGCAATGTTTGAGCCACCAAACTTGGGTGTTATTTACTGACACATCGTAGTGTTTCTTCAGCAGCTTCTGTGCCAACAAAAGTGGGCATCTAAAGCCAAAACCATGATCTTTTCCTTACCATAACCGAATGATTTTTGTACTTACAGCTAGCCACACACTCACCATTTTATTTATTATGATATTTGTGTATGATTATATTATATTTCAATAACTGCACAGCACTTTGGTCAACTGAGGTTGTTTTTAAATGTTCTTTATAAATAAAGTTTGACTTGACTTGACTTGAGAAATGTTAAGTTTCAACTTATCCTCTACAAAATAATGTACAAATGTCATATATCTGTGTAGACTAAAATTTGTTTCTGAAAACATCTGAGGCAACAAATATTTGATCAGCGCTGCCTAGTTTGACTGAAGTTCACAAGCAGTAAGTGACATGATTTACAGCTGATCTCTCTGAAAATGGCCTGTGATTTACCAGAGTCTCATGTCACAGGCTAGATTTGCTAAAGCCTGAAAGCAGGGTGAAGTGGTGGTGCAGAGGTCTAGTGTTCTCTCAGACAATTTGAATTACGATATGCTTAAAGAGTGTTATGGGATTTTTGCTTAATGACACTAAAATTAAACTGCCTAAACCAACTTTAAATGGCTTCATATTTATGGGAAACCCCTGCTGTGAGGACAAGCACTGCTCACACTCAGAATTTTACTCTACTTCACACTGAAAGGTTTCCAAGATATAAATATATATCTGAATGGGCTGAATCACAGGGACATGTGCATGTATAATTATCCACAGGACAATGAACAGTTCAAGGTCCAAGACCTGAAAAACAAATAGCTAATCTAAAATCTTATGATCTAAGAAGAAAAAATAATAATAAAGTTGAAAATTTTGAACTCTGAAACAATATTGAATACAGTTTTTGAATCCTGGATACTTGAATTTTTCTGAATTTGTGAAACCTAACGCACATATTAAGTTTCTGAGATAGCACATCTGACACTGAGAGAGACCACATGTAATTTTCAAAGTAAAAGTGCTATAAATTCAGTTGCATTTAAATGTCTTAAATCACTTTGAATGAAAACAGTGCAGACACACACTGAGGTCATTTCAGACTTTGCTGCCACCCTGTGGTACAATTCCTGCACAGTGAGGTCATCTCTCATCTCTCGATCTAAAGATCCAATTTGTTTGACATCAGATCCAGTTGTGCAGAAAGACATGGGGGCAGCTGTATGTCTTTATATGAGTCAGCAAACGTCTAATAGTGTCCCATTACTCATTGATCACTGACAGCTGCATTGTAATTCAAGTCCGGATAAGCAGTTCATTTCTCATTAATGAGAGCAGGAGAGCTGTCTACATGTAGCGTTTAATAATTCAGCAGCAGTATTGTATTTTCTAAGATGCATTTAACACATGCTGCGAGCACTAAAAACAACCGCTAACATTGTGTGTAAATCTGACAATAAACAGGGCCACAGCAAAAAACATTTCAGTGTTTAACAAAGTAGCCTAATTATTTCAAACATAGCTACATTGTACATGGACTCATTTGCCTAATATTAAATAGAAATAAATATCTTTTAAGGCAGTGCACTCTAATTGTTGATCATACAGAGGTATACTGTCATAAGTCCAAAATGACAAGTAGGTAATTCACACTAATTCAATCAATAGCAAGCTAAAGTCAGAAAGAATGAACAACTCTGGATCGATAACCTCATCTCACGTGCAGCTCTGTCTGGCAGCCCACAGCGGCTCATCAGTCAGCGCTGCTAAACAAGTCATATCAGCATTAATCATTCCCTCCACAGAGGTAGAGTAAAGCCTTCTGGTAGTCCCCAGTTGTGTCCTCCTGCAAAACACAACAGACGTGGAAAGTAAGTACATTTACTCAAGTACTTAGGTACAATTTTAAGGTACTTGTACTCTACTTGAGTGTTTCCATCTTCTGCTATTTCATACTTATACTCCACTGCATTTCAGCTGCCTGTTATCAGACAGAATTGTCGCCTTGAACTCGGTGGATAGACAATTGTTATACTTTTCACTCCACTACACTTATCTGACACCTTTAGTTCAGGGATACTCAACTTTTTCAAAATGAGCCTAGACCAGGAGCCAGTTAATAAACAAAAAAATAAGAATATTTATCAGCACATATAATAAATAAATTGCCTGTTTACAACCTTTCGATGTTTGCCATCCTCACTCATCTTTACCAAGAAGTAAATCCAGTCGCAGCAGGCCTGCACAGGTTAGACCAGGATTCAAGTGATTCTTTCCTGAATCTCTATTTTGATGCCTTTTTATGCATCATAATAGAGCTTTTTTATTTCTTTGGCACCCTATTTACACTCAAAGTACCAAACAATTTCCCAGTGTGAACCCATTTATTTTAATTGCGAATTAGAAAATGGTCGGCGGGCCACCTGGCACCCTATCGCAGGCTAGATTTACCCCACAGGCAGTAAACAGAGTATCACTGCTTTAGTTATTTTGCAGATTCAGATTAATCAACAAATAAATGATGATGTTTTATCATGGATAAAGATAAAACTTTATCTATCCTTTGGTAAAATTCACAAGCTATAGGATATATAGTGCAAAAATAAGCCCACCTTTACCAGTTGCAACATTAAAGTAATGTACCAGTATTTATGATTTAATAATATGATATACATGATTCTGAAATGAGCTGTATATGGCATTCAGAGTATATCTATGATTCAGAGTCTGAGCAGGGATCATCTGCACCATAGACTGTAAAAATAATAGACCGTAGCTGCTGTGATGTCATCCGATGATTTGTGGACTCTTGAGTACGGCACTTTGGTTTTTTTGGAGCCAGGAGTGATGCTGTGGAGGAGCGAGGGATGGGTCTGATGTCCACCTGACGGACACTATCTGCAGACAGTCTGTCACTCAAAGCGGCCTGCCCTTAATTATGTGTAACTTTAAAGTGATAGTTCAGATTTTTGGACATGAAGTTGTGTGAAACGCTGACCGTCTGTAGCTCTGATGTGACGGTGTCACTACTCTCAACGAGCCTCCTGCTCTGAGAAATCGCCCGTAGCTTACCAGAGAAAAAGTAGTTCTGAAGATGTACGGGGGACACGTAACCAAAAGGTTTTAAGCTACAAAAAAGTATGCATGTGTTTTGTTAGACTATTTCAATAATTTTAAAACATCCCCACATTACGTCAGACCTTGCTATCAGTTGGGACTATCTTCTGGCCAGTATCACTCCGCCGTGCAGGCCCGCAAGACAGCACGGCAACAGAAATCAATAAAGCCTGATTTATGGTCCTGCGTTGACTCAACGACGTAGCTATGTTGTTGCCGTGACGCTGTCGTGAACCCTTCGAACTTCTCCGTCACTCCGTTTCATCGCGGTGCAATTCACCGCCAGAGCGGTAGGAGGCTGCGTTCCTTTCCTGAGTGGTTGTCATCGTCTCTAGTTGATTCTTTGTTTAGCTTCCGGCTTTTCCGGTCACAGAGAAATGAATGCGGAGCGTGGACAGACGGCTCCGGCCGTATCCGTATCTGTATTGAACGTTGAGCATAATGGCATATATATAATGAGCCTTAATACTGCAACATCTACATCGCAACAGAAAATGTTTAAAGATGGTGGGGATGGCGCAATCTGGAAATACGGAACCGGAAATACGTTGCTACCAAGCAAACCAATCACAGCCCTGCCGGTCTGCGCGGGGTCTGCGTCACCTCAACGTGTAGTTACATTTTTGGGAAGGTGCACGTCAGGCTACGCCGGGGGCTACGGCGAGCCTTCTGCGTAGCCCCGTACCCTACGACGTAGCGACATCGTTGATTCAACGCAGGACCATAAATCAGGCTTAAGACAGTTCATCACCACGCTGTGCAGGTGCGCAGGATAGCAACGGCTAACGAAAACTTCATCGGCTGTTTCCAACAGAGAACCAGTAGACTATTATTAGTGAGGAAGAAGATGTACTAGCCCTATATATACCTACTACTACAGCGCGAACACTGGCTCGGGCTCACGACACACACTCGTCAGCTGCTGTAGGTAAACACAGGAATACCAAAATGGTGCGAACTTGTGATTTCCCCACTTGGTGATGAACTGTCTTATTGATGTCTGTTGCCGTGCTGTCTTGCGGGCCTGCACGGCGGAGTGATACTGGCCAGAAAATAGTCCCAATTGATAGCAAGGTCTGACGTAATGCGGGGATGTTTTAAAATTATTGAAATAGTCTAACAAAACACATGCATACTTTTTTGTAGCTTAAAACCTTTTGGTTATGTGTCCCCCGTACATCTTCAGAACTACTTTTTTTCTGGTAAGCTACGGGCGATTTCTCAGAGCAGGAGGCTCGTTGAGAGTAGTGACACCGTCACATCAGAGCTACAGATGGTCAGCGTTTCACACAACTTCATGTCCAAAAACCTGAACTATCACTTTAAGCCTTAATAAAATGTAAATGGGAGAGTTATAAAAAAATGTACCCCCTGTACAGTTGTCATGACAGGGGAAATTAGCTATAGAGACCGAAACTGTTTTTTGTATTAGGCTGTAAACATGTTTATTTCTGCTGTAAAGTTGGGCATTTTAACATGAGTGTCTATGGGGATTGACTGGCTTCTGGAGCCAGCCTCAAGTGGCCATTTTTGGCACATATGTGTTGGCCTCATTTTTCAGGCCTGGAGAACGCCACTTAGTCTTGCACACGGCCCTTAACATGGAGGCAGCTGAGCCAGTGGCTAGCAGCTAAGAGTGCTAACAGAGTAAACAGTGCTGACAGAGCTAACAGTGATAACCTGGGGGGAACCAGAGGGTGGGTGTTGCGCTTTCACAACGACGCTGTTGCTTGTTATCAGCAGTAATCTCCTTGTAACGCTGTATGAGTGCAGAGCGGTGGCCATTATCTATCCAGTGGGATACACACACCAGGACTCACCTGCACTAACATCCATGTGAGGCTGGCTGATATATTAAAGGAGCAATATGTAAGAAATATAAAGCAAATAGTCATAAAATCCTCCTAATATGTCACAGAGACTAAGGAATAATGTTCATATAACATACTGATCTCACCGACAACAATAGTACAGCCAGAATATTTGCATTTTTAAAAAAAATTTACGGTCCGCAAATCATGTTTATGTTTTGAATTTGTGTTTTGGCCTGTTGCGCCACCCACTGCCGTCTACCAGTCACGCAGTCAGTAGAGTCTCAGCATCAGTTACAGTTACGACTGAGCTACAGCAGCACAGCAAGCAGCATTAGCAGTGTCCCAGTACATAGCATTAGCAGCCGGCTCCTCATGAGCTGTATCCCAGCAGCAGCGTTAGCAGCAGAGAAGCCGGACTTGCTCGAACGGTCCGCTGGAAAACCGAAGATCAAGGACGCGGCGACGCAGCCCTGCCATGGCAGCCGCCCGTGGGCAAACAAATCAGTCTCCAGCGTGCCGCTGTCCAGCAACCTAGAATCTGTAGGGGAGGGGGGCGGACACGATTCGCGGCAGTATTTTGAATTTGAGTGCAGTAACCGTTTTGGCCACATTCTTACATACAGTGCCTTTAATGTTCTGAATGTCATATATAGAACATTTTGTTCTATGGGTTTTTTTTTTACTCACTAAATCATTCTGCATCAACATATCAGAACTTAATCTGAGCTATCAGATGGAAGGCCCTCATTCGGTATCCTCTTATTTATTTTCTATTGTAGATATTTTATTTCAAAATGCCCTAATTGTATTTCCTATTGGTATTTTTTCCAATGACACTTGTATGTCACACTGTCACTTTTCATGCATGTGGGCGGTTATAGCTCAGGTGGTTTGATCACCTGCTCCTCCTCCCCACATGTCGAAGTGTCCTTGAATGAGACACTAAACACCAACACTCTGAATTGTTATTGCCACTTTTGACAGAAGTGTCTGCAAAATGATCGTAATGTGATGTTGTTGTCCTGAATCTCCACGCCCTCGCCCTTCAGCCATCACTTCCCAGCCTCTATTACCAGGAAACAGAGAATGCTACCAAAATTTAGCCAACCAGCTCACATTATTTTGATCCATTTAACTTTATATATAATAGCTAAAGCAACAATACAGCAAATAAACTCTTATACAGTTTACTTACTATGACCATACGTTGCTATGTGACAAGGTCAGAGTGAGAATGTGTTGTGTTTTTCGGCGAGATATCGTCAGCATTTCCAGCCATGATTGTGCCACCGAATTGTATTTTAAACAGTATTTTAAGTCAAAACATGATCTTTTCCTGATCAAAACAAAGTGTTTTTTGTGCCTAAACCAAACCGCACATTAACCACAGGGTTGATGGAAAGAAAAGAAATGTTAAGTTCAACATGTCCGCCACGAATAATATCTGTGGTTTGCAAAAACGTACAATGCCAAATACTCTTGTATTTTTCAGTTTTTTCAAATTCAGTTCTCATTGACAGTTTGGTTTTTAATATATATATATCCCTTATTATGTCTTTCTTTGACGTTCTCTATTGCTGCTGTAACAACTGAATTTCCCCTCTGGGGATCAATAAAGATTTATATCTACATCACCATATGTATTTATCTATCAGTAACAATGAATGAACAAATAAATCAGCATTATTATGATCATTATCATTATCATAAACGTCTGGGTTTATCAAAATGGCCCATTTTCAAGCAAAGTGTTCATTTCAGTGAAATCATAGCATCTTAATTTAAAGACACCCCAAGTAAAAGACATGCTCTAAACTCTAATGCTGCATTTACAAACAATGTCAGCAGAATGAAAACCCCTTATCCTGAGGGTTCACGCATTATTTTAAAATGGTCCCTACAACTGCTAGCAATATACTTTCGCCATTTAAATACCCCATAGCTGTTAATTAGCAGATGAAACCAGATAAAAACAATGTTTAGGGAATATAAAGGGAATTTTAGGTTCAACTAACCTGTTAATATTTCATTATCATTATTATTACTATCGTTATTATCATCATTATTATTATTATTATTATCATTATTATTTATGGCTACTGTTATTTTTATCATTATTATATAATAATATTTATTTTTGTATTGTTTTTTCATCCTTTTTTATTATTGTTTCTTTGTCTTCTTTCTCTTTTTAATTATCTGAATTTTATGCAGTCTTGTGTGTGCCCCGTTCATCTTGGTCAAAACTATATGACATGAAGCTCATGAGAAGAGAGGTTTCTTTCTCTTAGCTTGCTGTAACAGGAAGTATCTGGCAACTGTGCTAATGAACCTGAAGGGTCAGATTGGCTGAAGGGCGAGGATGCAGGAATCAGTAAAAACTGAATCCAAATGTCCAGACTCCACTTGCAGACTCGCAGACTTTGTGGGCGCGTTCCAGGGAAGTCTGGGAGTGCTGAGAGCTGTCCAAATCCACAATTCATCCAGTCCACAAGGGGCCTCGAGTGCACTATGTGAAGACTTCCAGAGAGTTTGTTTGGGGTGCAGACTTCACGAGACTTCACTGATTTAATAACAAAAAATTCATTACAATATGGACGTGGCATTGTAGCTTTTTTCAGTTGCCAAGCAACATGGGTAAAGCAATTATGGTAAACACTTCTTGAACCCTGTAGGCCAGAGATAATATTCAACCACATCATGATATAGAAATATGTAGAGGTAAAGGCTATAGAGAGCTGATCAGACTGCATTTTATTACTGCAGTCTACCCTATGCAGCCTGGTGAAAGCATCCTGATGACGTGAGCTCAACAGTCTCAGTGCCGCCCCGAACACTTTCTACAAATCAAAATCCAATCAAGAATCTGCACCATGGTTGACTACATAAGCTGTCAATCAGGGACTGTGTTGCAGTTGATGAAATGCAGGCCACAGCTTACAGAGCAGTAATGGCGGCCCATGAAGCAACCACCACTAATTCTGATGTTAGTAGAGTAACAGAACAAGACTACACGCTCACAGAGTGTCTTGGAGGAACAGATGCTTTCACTGTTCTTTCGACTGGATTTAGCAAAAGCTTGATTTATCCACTGGCTCCACTGATGATGATGAAGTGTTTTGTTAAGTTGATTGGCTGAAGGAGTTTGTCAAGGCGAGTACTCCAGCCCACTGAAAGTTTGGGGTGGCTCTGAGTCCAGATTGATACAGAGAGTGAAACAGAATCTTGAGCTCACGTCATCAGGATGGTCTTACCAGGCTATACTCTATAGACCCTTTTATGGCTGACATCACAATGGTGTCAGTTTGTTAGCTGCAGGCAAAACACATCTCTCCCCCACAGGGCTGTAGGCTACATAGGAGTCTTAACATGTCGTCTTGTGTTATTGGGAGCCAGAATAGAAGGAGTCATGGCGCAACAAACAAAGACAACTATGGTTAAATGTGATAAGACCAAAGGAGTGGACGGAGGCCATCATCAAAAATGCTCACATGTGCAGCACACACTTCATATCAGATCAGGGGAAAAGTATTTCCTGTTGTAGGGATGAATAACGTTACGTGTATTAAGGGTTATCACATCCACCTCATCAGAAACTGGGGAGGGATTAAGAGGAATACTGGATTTCTCTGGAACGCTAACCTTTTAGCGTATTAGCCAACGTTAGCTTCCATAGCAAAACAAACTGGAGGAAACCGTTCAAGTCTCGTCCTCCTTTGTAAGATTGGCATAGTAATCAACCACAGCTTCCTGTGACATCATCCATCCACTGAGTGAGAGCATACGGGTCGGCCAGTCTGGTCCCGTTGGTCAGTGTTTACTTATTCAAGTAACACTCGCGGTCCTGGAGAGTGAGTGACCTGACATGGTGTGTTTGTAAACTCAGTCTGACGCTCTACACTGAAATGAGAGTCCTGTTCGTCGAAGAAATGGAGCATTATATTTCCCAGACAGAGTGCCCAGAGTGTGCTCTGCCACTCTGAGAGTGTGGTGCTCTGCATAACCGAATGGTACATTACGACAGAGCTCTGAATTCACAAACGGTCCAGTTGACCTATGGCTAAGTCCTGCCCTCAAACACGATGAGCCAGTCACAGTGTGTATAGCCATTCCCATACACTCGGACATTCTCTGCCTGGATGTTCATTGAAATGCATTACAGGAAGTCAGTTTTGTTCAGTTTTATGAGCTTTTTCGGAGATTTGAAGTTTAAAAATGGTCAAACTTCAACTTAGCTTCATTAACTTATCTGTAATGGCAGAGATAACAAAGGTTGGCAAACGTTATGCTGAATGATTCAGTGTAAATACTGTAGCACCAAACTAACGGAGAGACACTCTTGGTAAAGATGGTAAAAAGGCTGTTATCCTTTTCTCATATTCTGAGCCAAAAACCTTAACTTCAGTGGCACTTTGATGCACCAAACTTTCAGCAACGAGATGTGGTTCACAAACGTACACTGTGACCTGTAAATTTTGGCTTGTAATTTAAGCTTTTCATCGACCTTCTCAGCAATAAAATGATGAATATATCCCTCCAATATGTAGTTTAGGCCCTTTTGGTTACTTCTCAATGACATCTGATCGTTATGTCCCCAAAAATCATCAATTGCCTCCTGCGAAATGCCGTGTACTGTGACACCTGCCATAGCGCCGGTCACTGAATGCTGATAGTTTGTCCAAGTGAGTGGAGGGGGGCGTGGCTTAGCCATAGGTCAGTTTGTGCCGGAGTGTGCTCTGACACTGGGAATGAGTATTTCTGAATGCACTGATCACATAATCTTCCTCAATTATCTAAAACAAGCCAACAGAACTTGCTGGCTAGCACTACCTGATGTCTGTGGAGATTTGCCAAATATACAGGCTAAGAAAACTGGCCCACAAACAACAAAAGATCCTCTTATGTAAGTAATACCCAATTCATTTAGTCGTAGTCTTGTCCTGTATTTCAATGTGTGTAGCCTCTGTATTATAGAGAAATGTATGAGTATAATTTTGTTCAGTCACACAAAGAGCCTAAATGACAGCAGCGATCACCTTGTTCATGACTGTTGCTGTGGCTTGAACGTTTCGACGGCAACAAGTGAAACAGATTTGAATACTGTCTATAAGCAGATAACAGTCTCTGCCCTCACAAACTGTATGCGATGACAATGATCACGTCGCAGTACGTATGACTGAAGCCAGCGAGGGCTCAGTCTGCAACTTCAGATGGTGGACATCTGGGTTCAGCCTGTTTTCAAAGCAGACATTTTGTTTCATGCTGCGTTCACATCATGAGGGATGCAAATTCGAGGCAGCATTGACACTTAAACCTGTTCAGTAAATCCATAATAAATATGGGTTAAATACCTTAAATGACACACTTAGGCTGAAATCGCTCTTTCAAGCACTTTAGTGGCTTTGTAATTTATGTAAATGCTACTCACAAGTCAGACACCACCTCCTATATGAACAAGAACACGGCGTCGTCACAGCAGGAAGAGCACAGGTGAAACTAATAACATTAATTATGGCTCAGGCTCATTTCAAAGAGCCAGTAAGCCATGACAGTTAGCCATCACACACAATACACGCACCATGGAAGTGCAATATAACCAGAGTGCAGCCATAATTAAAGTTATTAGTTACACCTGTGACTGACGGGTGAAAATATCAGCTGTGAGAGTCGTTTATTAGCATGAAAAGTCATAAAAAGTGATATGAAATAGTGTCACTGGGAAAAATACCACTATGAAATATGAATACTTTTGATAAAAGAAGCAATTTGAAGTAATAATTGCAATAAAAAAACTGTAAAAGATACATATTAAATGATATATTAAAGGTTATTTCATAATGTCTAATTTATCCATTCAGTACTGGCCATTGCTGAAGGAGGATGGCAATAACTCTCACTGCAGGAACATCTGGCCCCGGGAGAATAGATTAATTCACTTTGGCTCGAGTGAAAAGCAGAGAGGCATCATCTCAGTCTCATCACGCTGAACAAGGCATTTAAAGTAAATCACTAATCTCCACCCCATCACGGCACCGACATGAATGGTGTATAAGCAGCATGAACGTAATACACCCAGCTGGTGTTTTAAAGCATGCAGCGGGATAGATGAGCATGTTTTAGAGCATCAGCGGGGCAAAACGATGACAAGTATGACATCATGTCTTACATCAATACATTCATTTTCTTCTGGAGGGTTATATTCAGCACGTGTCATGAAGAAACGGAAACACTGAGTGGTTTGTCTGAGTGAGCAGTACCTGGATGGTGGTGTAAAGAGACGCTCCATACTTCTTTTTGAAGCTGGCTCTGATGTCCAACATGTCCACCTCGCTCCTCGACACCATTATTCTCATCAGGGTGTCATCATCAGTTCCAGCACGCTAAACATGGAAGTAAATCAGCGGCTGGGGTTAACAATCTATGAAATTACATTTTCTCACAGCTTTATAGTCCACAAAAGTGTCAAACATCTTCCTTTTCACTTCTCTCAGGTGCTGCAGTTATATCTATCACTCAGACCCGTGGACATAACGTCAGACATATTTCATACAGCACAGTGCTACTGTAAGACAGGTGATTAGTTTAATTGATTAAGGAGATGTTGCAACTTGAAAATCTGCACTTCCAAAACTCAACCAGCTTTATTTTCAGCGAATAGTTATTTAAGGAGCATTGCAGTGATTTCAAAAGTTTTAGCCACACTGAAAAATCATGTACTTTACATTTTTGATAATGACTTTTTAATGCATGCTATACAGATTCAGATTTGTGGTTGTATTTTTACGACCATTCCAGGCAGCCGTTGGCTTCATTTCTGTATGATATGAAAATCAATTTGTAGACTCATGAAATTTTCTTGAGATGTGTGCAGTAAGGAATCACAGTCAACCACAGACTGTATATAAAGATGGGCAACATTACAGCTCCCCAAAATTGAAGCCACAACATCTTGATCGCCCCCTGGTGGCTGGCTGCAGTATATGTCATTGACCCCGCCCCCTCAGTGTTAACAGATGGGGCATGGACCAAAGTAAAACATCAAAGTACACGTCAGATACTTTAAACTAAGGTTGTGATAACCAAAATAGGGTCACTAGCCTCTTGTCCATCAGTAGATGAATGCTTCCTTCTGCACTGTGATATGGTTAGCAGATGTAGTTCGGCAGAAAGAAAATAGTTCCTACAAGAAACTGCCTACAACAAAGTCTGTGGATTATCTTAAGTAACCCGGTCATGATTTCTGGAGAGAGACATTGCTGTTGAGTTTTTCAAATGCATTTTATTGGCGCTTTGAGCACCACAAGCTGAGTGTCATCTAGTTATATTATATTGGAGAGAAGGCAGACATCTTTACAGCCGATATCTTTAACACTAAGCAACTCGCACCGCAACAATCTAGATTAATAAATAGCACTACAGGTAAGAGAAAAATATGTATTTTTGATTTGGAGTGAACTGTCCCTTTAAGCCTTGGAGAAACGCACATTTATCGGATATGAAGAACAGTGTGATACTGTGGGACGATGACACCTACCCTCATAGATCTGTACAGACCTTCAGCGAAAAACTCGGGGACACTTCTGACACATTTCACTGTGGAGCAAAAAGGCAAAAGTCAGGGTTCAGTGTGAAATTGAATTTCTGCCATGTTAATATTTCGTCATTGTACTGGCACCAATTTCTGCTGCCAAGTGTTATCTTCTCCTTTATAACATGTATTTTAGAGAAAAAAATAGAGAGAGTCTCATTAAAGTATCATCCTAATAAATCTCATGCCTTACCAACGGCCACCAGTAAGTTCTCCAGATTTCCAGTGGTCTCTCCTTTAACGCTCTCCTCGATATCAGAGCCAGAGATCTTCTTGTAGGCATCGAACACTGCAGGGAACAAAACAACCACAAAACATAAAAAACAATATCACTTTTTGAATGCGTAGTTTTTAATTTTTTATTGTCTACATGATTTTTATAAGGGGTGTGACATATCATCTCATGATAATACTAATTTTTGATATCATATGAAAAAATTCATAGTGATAAGGGCAATATTTCAACTTGTCGACATGTTGACGTCATACTGTTACCCACGGCAACAACAAGCATGGCTGAAAGCGAAATTATTACCGACTCTGCGGTGGTTCCAAAAAGAGGAGCAGCTTCAGCAGTGTGGAATAAACTGTGGCGTCCTGAATGTTTTATGAACAGCCCTGGACTTCTCAGACTCTTTTAGTGACTTACCGCTCAGAGGGAACTCAGTCAGCAGCTCCTCTGGCAGCAGCACAGCGCCCACCCCTAATTTTTTACTGTTTTCTTTTTTTTTTGCATTGTATTTTATATTCAGTAATCTACAGTATTGTACTGAATCCACTCTATTAGAACGGAGTACACCCAGTTGAGAATAGTCACACTGCAGCTATTCAGCCATTTACACCCACTTGTTATCGATCTCACTGCATGCTGTGATTTCCCAGTACTAATCACGTTGTAGCGCTGGGGTCAGAGGGTGATATGGCAAAAATGTCATGGTTAGGGCTAGGACTAGTCAATCTTGGATGTTCTCTGGGATTTAAGTGGTAAATCTATGAGAAAAAGGTGCTGCCAGAAAGTCAGGTGATGTAGTATCAAGAGTGACAGAGTCCATGGAGAGAGTAAGATGAGTGGGGCTGTAGGTTAAGCCCATGACTTTTACATAGAAGACTGGGGTTTGAGACCTGTGTCAGTCAGTGCTGGCTGAATAATTTTAGACTTAACTGATTTATTATTTCAGTTAGGATGTATAAACCTGCTGAATGCACACTGTGTACATAAACTTTAGCTTAATAGCTGAACAGACTCGTTCATGTTGATGTCATATTTCAATGTTGCTTGGACGCCCAGGAATTTACACGTGGGTGTAAACAGCACTGTTGGTCATGAACACCTGGGTGCTGACAGCATCTGCCTTATCATAATCACTCAAAAGAAAAATCATTTTCATTTAACATTTTGATGATTAGACACATATTAAACAGCTTAAGTGTAAACCGAAATGAACTACAAGTGAATTTTGAGTTGTTTGGATGTTGCTGCCACAACTTAATCTAAAGTGTCTTCACCACAAGTGTCCCATATAATGAATGGATGAATAAAACAAGCATGTGTATATGGGGCTTATTGCAGTGACCTATTAATGTCTCAAACATGCCATCCCACCTTACTTTATACAAGCTCCCCTGAGTTTAGACCCAGGGACGGGACATCACAGTAAATTGAGGTCATCGCCATGTTCCTGAACCACCGTGAGATGTATACTTCATGACCAAGTGACTGGCAGGAGAGTTGTTGAAGTGAATGCAAAAGAGATGGAGGTTGTTTGTTTCAGCAGTCTCAACAGTCTTTGTTCATGTTTTCCTGACAAGCAACATCCTGTGGTCGGGAGAGGAGTCGGCCTTTTCTCTAAGTAACAAAGGCAGCAGTATCATGATGTGGTTATACTGTGGTAAATTATTTCAAAGAGGAGGTCAGGTTGGATGATTGGGTCTGCAAACTAGAGACTATTTACATCCCATCTCATACCACTGGCCAATATTAGTTTCACTTAACTATCACAGGAAACTCTTTAAAAAAAAGCCTTTCATTTATATTAGCCCAATGTTTTTTTTTTTTTTTTAAATATGTCGTCTTTGGTTTATTTTATTGTTCCACAGCCCAGTCGCCAGAAGAAAATGGCATTGTTTCTGCAAACCAGATATGTTACATTTGTACGTTTCATATGTACTAGGTTTTGACCAGGGGCGATTGCTCTGAGACAACAAGGGAGGCTGAACTTCCCCTAAAATTTCATAGAAGAAATTGTCAAATATGCACTATTGAATTTACATTAAAATAAGAATTTACATTGCCATTAAACGTGTGCTAGGATGAGTTTAACATCATGACTATGATGTTCAAACATCACCTGTTTATCACCAGTTTTCAAACGCGACCTCCCTGTCATACATTCTCATGTCAGCACGGTGGACACGGAGCCTCCAAACATTCCTATGAGACAGCGCTGAGCAGGTTTTTTTCATGCAGCAAAGCAAGACGGTCATTGGATAAATGTGACATAATCGTCACTTCCAGGGAGGCTCAGCTTCCCTGGGACCTAATGGAGCGGTAGGCGTGAGAGGATACTCGGTGTCTGCTTCGGTGTCTGCATGATGATTGGAGGAATTGTCTAAAAGGCTGAACCCCTTTGTGACTGACAGCGCTTTGGAAATACACACCGGCACCGTTGCATTTCGAGCTCAGTCTCATGCAGATACAGTATTTGTGAGTGCCGCCCGGAGTTCCTTATTTCCATAACCGATATAGCTCATTTTGACCATTTGTCCAGTACAGTTCAGCTGTTTAATCCCATCTGAAAATCTTTGAGGTGTGTTTTGCTGTGGTTCTATGGCATGAGTGTGGTTGAAAAACAGCTTCAATTAAATGTTCCTTTTATAAGTTACTGCCTCCCTACAATATGACAAATTTTATGATGTAAACTTAAAGTGAGCTTCCCCTGTTTGAAAGACCAGCAGCTGCCACTGTTTTGACCTAGTCTTGTTTAACAAGAGTTAGGGACATTTCCAGCTGTGTTTGTTGCGACAAAAACGGGTATTTTAAGCCTAAATATGATCTTTTCCCAACAAAACCAGGTGGTTTTTGGGCTTAAAACTAACCACATGTGAACCACAGAGTTGTCACAACATAAACTTGACACATAAAGAAACATAAAGTTTGAACATACCTGTTACATAATAAGTTGCATAGTAAGTATTTATTTTATTCAGTTTCTCCCATGGTATTATCTGTCTGTGGCCATTAATCTGTATAACTCCTCCCCCTTCTGTAGGGAGTTGAAACTACAGACACTGACAGCAATATTCACCTACATTAGGGGCACTATTACTTATTATGATGCACTTTACTACTTTTCAATATCTTGTGCAATATTATTCTTTAATATCATGTGCAATACTACTTCCCATTGTTTTATCATGTTCAATATAACATTCATTATCAGGCGCAGTCTGTTTTTTCCACCATTTTAGTTTATTTTTAGTAAGTCCTGAACTTACTGTACTCCTGCTGTTACTCTTTTAGGCACTGGTTTTGCTTTTGCTCCTTGAGAACGCTTTATATCTTGTATATTTGTCCAGATATTTTATACTGTATTGTTTTTAAAACTGGGCCCAGAGTGTGACCCTGACCCGGGAAACCCACTGGTTGCTCTGGTTGTGAATGTTAAATTGTGGTTACTGTACTCACTGTTACTGTAATTTGATGCATTCTCTGGCACACGAATTTCCTTTGGGATAGATAAAGTTCTATTGAATTGAATAGAATTGAATTATATTGAATTGTAAACATGTTGATAAATGGTTAACAGTATTTGTATCGCACCTTTCTAGTCTTTCTAGTCTTCTGACCACTCATACATCTTTTAAAAATTCACATGCACTCACACACCGACAGCTAAGCTATCGGGGGCAGTTTGGGGTTCAGTATGTTGCCCGAGGATACTCCAACTATAAGAGCCGCGGACTGAACCACTGATCTTCTGATCAGTGGACTACCCACTCTACCTCCTGAGCCTCAGCCACCCCTAAGGTGTTATAACTTTGCTTTGAAAGAAACAATATGAATGAAGTATATTATCATGGTTTGAGTTGCATAATCGTAGCCACACAGATGCCAGATCAGAGGTGTTACAGGTACTTCTGGAAGACACTAGAAAAATAAATTTTGTTGTTAAGTTTTATGAGGACTTGTTGATTCAGAAGGACAGTAAATTCATATGAAGTCCTTCTATCAGCCACTAGTTGCCGACTCTTGTCTGCGATCACGTTCCCTTTCATTTTAGCTTCATCTAACCCATCAACTGCCCTGTTTCTCCCTGCTCAAGTCCAGCTGCTTAAATTTTTTAGTGAGTTGTGTGTTCAGTCTGACTCACTAACCAGCTTAAACAAGCCTCTGTTGCAGCCAGACATTTTTGCCCTCAAGACTGCCGCCAAGCTCGTGGTTGTTGTTTATCACTCTTTAATAAACTCTACAAACTCTGGTGCTCTCACTTTTCTTGGCAAGTTTTGTGTTGTTAACTTTGGACAACAACTACTTTTTTCCCCTTTCATGTAAAAGAAATGTACTGAATTCCAGGATGTACAAAGTTGTTGGAGTTGAACATTTCCTTAAACAGAAAGTGAGCCTTTAAATGCCATCCTAATCATTTAGGTAAAATAAAGAACATAGCTATGCTGTTGCAGCTTTTGATATTCCTCTCTTCAGCAGGTGACTGACAAATTACACATGATAACATTTAAATAAGCTGGCACAAACAAACTCACCCTTTCTGAGATGCTCTGCGCTCCTGTTGCCAAGAATTGTGATGAATTTTTCCTCATCTGTGCCAAACTTGCCCTCACCAGCAGCATACAAGTCCTGTAATAGCAAACACACTTGGACTTGTCACACTCACACATACTCACACACAGAGCAAACCTTGTGTAGACGTGACTTACAGAGGCAGAGCAGGACTGACAACACTGATGTAGGACCTTGTACTGAGCCAAAACAACACAGGAAACTTTTGTTTGTCTCCATTTGTCTTTGTTATTAGAGAGAAATTCTGTATTTCAGGTCCTTTCACCTGCAGCTCTGTGGAAGTTTTTTCTCTCCTGTTGTTCAGGTGATGAAGCTTTAATTCACTCAAATGATAAATTTGCAATCTGTCATGAGTCCTACTTTTGATACTTGAATTATATTTTGCTAATAATTCTTGTACTACCTATTTGTAGTCTTTTTGTGGTACTTTAAGACTGTGGTATTTTTTACTTTTATTTAAAGGTATACTGTGCAAGATTTTCCTAAAAACCTTTGTGCAGACTCAAACAAATACAATCATCACTTGACCCACTAGGTGTGTGGCAGTGTATTTATTTGCCCTCTGCGCTGGCGAAAGCTGCAGCTGGAGGCATTACGTTGTCAAGTCATCCGCTCGTACATCCCATTCTTGTGAACGCATTATCTCAAGAACATCTTGAAGGAGTTTCTTCAAATGTGGCACAAATGTCCACTCGGAATCAAAAATGAATGATGATGATTAGCTTTTGGTGGTCAAGGTCAAAGTCACTGTGATCTCATTCTTGTGAAGGTGATATTTTAATAAGACCTTGCGGGAATTTCTTCAAATGCGGCACAAACATCCACTTTGAGTCAAGGATGATTTGATTAGCATTTGGTGATCAAAGGTCAAAGACAATGTGACCTTCTCCGTCAAATTACAGTGAACGCAGTGTCTCCAGAACATCTTTAGGGAATTTCTTCAAATGTGGCACAAACACATCCTCTGAACTGATTAGAATTTGGTGGTCAAAGGTCAAGGTCACTGTGAACTTGCGTCCATCCCACATCTTCTCAAGAAGGCCTTGACGAATTTGAACAAATTTGGCACAAATATCAGCATGGACTGACGAAGGAACTGATTAAAGTTTGGTGGTCGAAAGTCAAGGTAAATGTGTGCTCACGAAACATGTTTTTGTTTTGGCCATAACTCAGGAATTCATACGCTAATTATGACAACATTTCACATAAATGTCTAACAGGATAAAATGTTGAAGTGATGATGTTTAATAACCAAAAGGTCAAAGGTCAACTTCAGTTTGACACTATAATGTTCTGCAAAAACATTTTTCTGGCCATTATTCAACATCATAACTCAGGAACAGAAGGGGAGACATTTGGTCAGACACTGAATTGGTGACTCTAATCTTGGGTGTCCACCTTGAAACTGTGCTAATTGTATAGATCTTCAGTGCGTGAAGTATCCATGTTAGCACAGACATGGATGTAAATTGCAACTGCAACTTAACATGTTGACGGAGGCATACAACCACAAGGCAGAAATTCTAGTTTTCTTCTTATGTTGCTGTGTTTAGGACAGTCCTGAGCACAGCACGCAGGTGAAGTTGGAACTTTATTCAAATGCAGCGACCAGGTAGTAGCATGAAAATCATGGACATGGTACCGAGAAAATGCAACAGCTAATGCAGCATTGGCTTCAACCTTAGTGTCGCTGGTGATACAGTTTACAAACAGCTGTAAATTCCTCCATAGCATACCTTTAAGTAAAGGATCTGAGAATGTTCCACTACTGTTTATAAGAAAACAGTTTAACACTTAGACAGAAGTGTTGTCACAAGTCACGCAGGACTTGTATCTTGACAATTGTACATTCAGATACATGTAGGATTACTTTATCATTATTAGATCCCAATTCACAGCTCAATATCAATTATTATTAGTTATCTACAGGAAACAAGATGCTCCATTCCCAAAGGTTAATATCCTTTAATTAACTTATCTTATTGGCTGTTCTTTCTTGGCCTTTAGCTCCACTGCTCACAAATATGATCACATCTTTAACATCCTGACATTTGAAAAACAATTAGGTGAAATATGCTCTGTACCACAGAAACCATCCACAGGACTTTTGCTGTGATTTTTTAAAACTACTTTATGTTGAATTTTATTACCACTGAACTTTTATCACATTAATTTCTTTTAGTTGTAAACAGTGAAACCACAGCTGTTTCAAAAGGTCTCAAGGTTATATTTTTTTTTACATTTGCGCCACCAGCTCATTCTTTTAAATGGGGGGGTTATGTGACGGACTATTTCTCAACTGGGAGCAGTTGCCAGGCAACCAGCAGTACTCAGATGAGAATACAACAGTGTAAAATACTCTGTTACAAGTTAAAGTCACAAGTTCAAGTCCTTTACTTAAGTAAAAGTACAAATGTATCAAAGGGACAGTTCACCCCGCAATCAAAGGTACATATTTTTCCTCATACATCTGGTGGCATTTATCAATCTAGGTTGTTTTGGTGAGTTGCCGAGTGTTGGAGACATTAGCCTTAGAGATGTCTGACTTCTCTCCAATATGATGGAACTAAAATAAAAATACATTTGAAAAACTCAACATCAATGTCTCTTTCCAGAAATTATGCCTCCTTTACCTAAGATGATCCACAGACCTTGTTGTGAGCCATTTCATGTAGGAACTATTTTTTTCTATCAAACTACACCTGCAGAAGAAAGCGTGCATCTACTGCTACCTCACCTAGCACAACTGAGCTAGCTCAGCTGAGAAGGACGCTATTAATGTTAACATCTTGAGTTGTCATATAACCAGGTCGTGATTTCTGGAAAGAGACATTGCTGTTGAGTTTTTCAAATGTATTTTTTTGTGCTTCGAGCACCACGTCAGCTTTTTTTGGGTTATTCAGCATGTTGAATCAGCGACAGTGATGACAGAATGCGTCAGGAAATGAAATAACTCTGATTGGCAGTTCAGCTCAGTGCACAAGAAGATAAACTGAAGTGAGGAAAGTAAACAAACAGCTAGAAAAAAAAGGACTGAGACCAAAACAAACTTGTTACATATGGTAAGATTATTTGTCTTTAGCAGAAACGTTTTGTGATGGTTTGTTATTGTTCACTGGTGCACAGTAAATATCCTCTGTTCTTTCAACACCGGATTGAGTTGTTGATGTGCTAACTGGCTAACTAGCGTCAAGACGGTCTTCCAGTTTCCCATTTTGAATGACAATTACAAACACCTGCTGTCTGCTGGTGTGGAGAGTTATTTCCTCTCACTTATCTTTTAATAATATATCATATTTTATTTGTTGATTATATTTTTGAACTCTTACTCTGAATCTGCAAAGTAACGAGTACCTTATGATGTCAAATAAACAAAGTGTTGTTGAGAGTGGTAGAAATTTTCAGACATCAACACAAGACATGTTTTCTCATGTTCTTGCTTCTCACCTTTGCGTCTTTCTCGATCTTCTCCTCATCTACTCCCTCCTCCCTGCTCCCCTTCACAGCCAGACAGATGACGAGCAACGCGGGGAGACAGACAGGTAGGAGGACATACACACAGATGGACAAATGGAGAGAAAAATCAGGTCAGTGTGGATGGAAAGACAGTGAGCTCAGAGCCTCTCTCAACCCAGGTAATCCCTGAAGATTACATTGTCTGCCCATAAGCATGAATATTACATTTCATGCTGTAGACCAAAACACATTTGAGACACCAACTGTGTTGCTGTGCAATCATCCCTGCTCCCCTCCCCAAGCCCACACCTAAACCCCTCATGACTGTGTAATGGCATCAACAGCGGCCCTCATTATCAGGAAACACAAGTCTCTCCAGCAGCCACTCTCTCCCTCTACCTGCACGAGGATCACCAGCAGCTTCTGATAGTGCCCAGAGGTGTCACCGCAGATATCCTTCTCCAGCTTACTGCTGAACTCTGAAGAAAGCGGAGAAGAGGGGCAAAAGATTGTTTACACTTGCCGCTCACAACAGTCACTTGTGGTTGCAATCGACCCTAGTGGGCCGTCCTTCGTCCTGCAGGAGGATCTCCGACAGGAGAGATTTGATTAGGCGGCTAACGGACAGCGTGGCCTTCTCTTTTGTCCAGATCAAATAAACTGTCCTTTTTCCCTTTGGCCCTCGGTGCCTTTGTTGTCACACACTATTTTCCACTGCGGTTTGATGCAATTTGATGCTGATATGTGAGAAACATCGTAACAGTGACACACATGTTACGAGAAGTACAGTATTCATTACACTAATGACAGAAGTCCTCCATGTTACAGTGGGACACCAAAGACTGTAAACAGACATAGTGCACCAGGGAAATTAGTCTTCTACACCTTCTGCTCACTGGACAAAACATTATAGATACTATAATACAGAAAAAAACATTATAAATTGTGTCAAGCTTTTATAAAAGTGTATCCACTTCATAGCTCAGGTAGTTATTTTGATCCTGTAAAACAATAAATTTCCCCCCTGAATGAAACTTGGTCTCAAATGACAGTTAGATAGGTAACTCCAGTGGAGAGAGGCAAAGGAGGACTAGAACAATAAAACGCATTGGAATCAGTGTGCAAGGTGTCTGTGCTTAACGATTTTGTTTTGGATGACGAATTTAAAAAAAGCATCAGAAAAATAACGAACTGAGTGTGCAAAGGCCTTAAAAGTCTCATTTCCATGTCGTCAAATACCGATGCTTTGGCTCAGTAGTTGGACGTATCCACCAACTGAAAATCACTGGTATTCAGTGACCTGGGAATGAAACTCAACATTCAACTATGTTTCTCCAGAGTTACATACAACATCTTTAAAGCTGAGGACAAGTCACCTCCTTAATACTGTCTTAAATACTTAATTACTGTCTGTAATATTGTCCAGACACAAAGGTTCTGTCACCAACAGCTTATCCTGTTAGGGGTTGTGGGGGGACTGGAGCCTATCCCAGCTGACACTGGGCAATAATATTGATTTAGGCTGTTGAGGGCAAATATATGCTTTTTGTGTATTAGTATACTTCAGTTCAGTGGTTCCCAACTGGTGGGTTGTGGTCCATTCTGAATGTTCCACAAGCAACTCAGAAACGTGTCAAGATTATTAAAAGCACATTTTATTTCGAAGTACAAGGAATTTCCTGCAGAGAGCTTTTATTTTGAAGTGCCGTTTCTTGCTATAGAATGAGTGACTATTCATTCAGGATAAGCATGTAGAAGTAGTAGAAGTATGTCATTTTGTTATAGATTGCTACTGACTATTTTACAAAAAAAGAAAAGCGAGAAAAGAAAAAAGAAAATCATAATGGAGATGGGTTTGTATTTTTGAGGGCATATAGCCAATAGCAAATGTGAGTTCTTCTTTGAACGCAGGAGTAGTTCGAGGTAGCAATCTGAATCATTTGCTAGGCACCCTGCACCTTTTAAGTGTTTGCTTGGAGTACATTTATACATCACCGCATCAAGGTGAGAAGTTAAACCATTGGAGGTCGGTAAAAACAAGATCTTCAACTGATGTTAAGTCGCTCTTTAAACACTTGGTCACATTACACACATACAAAGAGTCTAACTCACCAATAACAGCAAACATGTTTACCTGCTTTTGTACCTCTCTGAACTGAGCTGAGTAACTCACCTTTCTTGTATGCTTTGACAATGTCTTTAATCTGCTCACCAGTCCTGGAGGCCAGGATCTCAATCAGCACGTCGTCATCAGTCCCAGCACCCTGGGAACCAAAGTCAATATGAGACACCATGGATTTATGCGTTCTCAATTTATCCCATCTTACGGTCAATAAAAAGAGCAATTTTTGTGATTACAATAAACAAAAGCTGCGAAAATGTCTACAAAAAACAGTTGAAGAAAATAAGTGTAATTTGTCAGGACAACACTGTGACGGGTCTGTAATTAGAGAATGAACGACCTCAGTTGACGAGAGAGTTCAGATTTGAGGTCCAGTCTTTAAAGCAAATTTTCCTCTCTTTGCTCTAATTAACCCTCTGGCGAAAAAATGTCTGACGTGCCAAACAAATGGAGCGGTAGGTGTGATGGGAATGTCGAGGCCAAGTCCTGAATGCTTTGCCTTTACTTTGATTGAACATTTCATTCGCAGCGGTAATACAAAAGAAAATGTGATGAAAGAATAATGAACACCAAAAAAAAAAAAAAAAAAAAATCATTTGTAACTTAGAGGGTTCAGGAGTTTTACTAAAATCTATTTTCTTTCCTTCAAATAGTGTGACATAAAAAGCAGCAGGTGGTAACTATAAGATGCTTCAAAGAATACAATGCCTGGAGCATTAATACTTAATATAACTATAAAATAAATTGGGTAATAGATCAGCCTCTAGCACCAATACATTATATATGTGCTCTCTTTTTTTACGTCTTCTTTAGTGTGACGTCTTTATTGATTAAAGCCACATTAGAGCTGTAATACACAACACTGTTCTGTTACAACCTACACTGGGAACCAAGGACAAAACGTGTCATGTGAAAAGTCCCGAAATAAACTATAAGACAAGTTTTTATCCCTAAAGAGCAGCTCTAATAAAAACCAGCCTCAACCTCTGACCTTGGATACACTTTGAAGCACAGAGAAAATGACGCCATGTGGGAAATTATTTTCATTATGGAGCAAAAGTGCTTCAGTAAATGCACTACATCAGTAAAACACTGCGACTTGATGTTTTTTATCCTTAAACAACAAACACACATGATTAGGTTTAGGCAACAACAGGCAGTGGTTAGGTTTAGGAAAAAATAACGTGGTTGGGCTTAGAGTCTTACGGGACATGAACACTGCTCTCTCGGGTGAAAGTCGAGGTTTGTTGGACCCATCCATTATCTCTCCAGCCCGTCCCAGTCGGATTTTTGCTGCCTTAACTTTCGCCCCTGTCCCCCCTCCTTGTCTCCACATATCACGCCGATGTTAAAGGACACCTTTTTTCTTCGGAGTGAGACCATGCTTTCAAAGACACTACCACTGGCTCCAGTGCATTTTCAAATGTATCCACTTTAATCATCCATCTTATTTAAAACAATACCTGACACCATATATATCCTCATACTCACTTAGAGACTCAACAACCCTACGTGTTAGTTCCCAAAACTAACAAAGAAATTGCCAGACACACCTTTAAATTCAAAGCTCCCTCTGACTGGAATAATTTGCCCATCAACAGAAGAACAGTTAAATCACTGCTCCTCTTTAAAAACGTATCATCCTTCATTAAAACATCATGTTACTGTTTCTGATGGTCATGGCTTCCTTATTATTATTGTGGCATATGCATCTCTTTCCTTATGTGCAGGTATTGTGGGCTTATGGGGATGATGTGGGGGTGGGTCAGTAAATGAGAGCTATGAATGTATGTATGTTTTATGTTGTGATTGTGTCCATTGTAATGAAGTGTGTTGTATGTTTTGTGTTGGACCCCCGGCTATCTGCTAAAAAACAACATGACAGACCTCCTGTCTATTCTTTACCTTAATTCGTCAAATTTTGTTGTCCTTGTTTCTGGCTGTTATGTCTATTTCTGTGTAAGTACCTGAGAGCAATGCAAGAACACATACTTGCCGACTAAAGATGATTCTCATTCTGAGGAACTGAATGCTTGGTGCACATGGTAATATGGCTCCAGCTGGTTTTTCCTTATGCAAATTTCAACCTGATTTTGGCTGCAGAAACTGTACACTGCACTGCTGGCTTGTTTCATTCTACAAACACAAAATACTTTTCAGCACAGTGCTGTAAATGTTCACTGAGTCACTCTTGTTTGGATCAACAACAACAAACACACAAACAGGAAACAAAACAAAAACGTCTTTTTTTAAGCAGTTATTACAAAAAGACGATTCGACCTTGAGCAGTTCACAATTAATGGCAATTTTCTGACAACGCAAAAAACAAAACAAAACAAACCTGCCATGTCAACCCCACACAGCTTCATACCTGTCAGATTAATACAATGGATCTTTTGTGCGTCAAATTTTGTGGTTTTTGTCTTTGCCGTTATTCTCAATTTTCAACAATTATAACCATCTTTTTCAGTTTCATGCTATCAACACCTAATGACAAGCTGTAGCTGTTCAGTGCTAATAAAACTAGAAGAGTGCAGATCTCTGCCAGGCGGCCATGTTCTGTCTGCAGCCATCAGAGCAGATTGCCATGTTATTGGGAGAAGTTTGTCTACAGGGCTTTCTGCCAGAAAGAGATTTTCTGGTTAAGTTTTGGGGAAAAAATCATGGTTTGGATTAAAATGAACAGATTTCTGGCATAAAGCCAGGCTGTGTCTCAGGCGAAAAGAAAATCTGTGTAACATAGGTCAACATGTCACAGGAGTTACAGGACTGGCTGTGGGTTTTCTCTGCCTGCAACACGCAGCTAAAAGTTCAACTACTCCCAACTTTAAGATTGACCACACTTCACCACAAAATCATATGGCAGCAGCATTGCATAGACATTGCATGGCAGCTCGCCGCAGGCCAACACTGCTTGGTGTGTCTTCAGCCCAAGGCTTCATGTTTTTTTGAGAAGATTTCCAGACATGCCCCTCACTCTAGGCTTTTGCAGTGTACTGTGTTAAGGAATTGTGGCCTCTGCTGGACAGTTAAGAGGAGTGAGGAGTCAATGAAGATATTAAACAGTCAATAAAACAGGTTTTTCAACAACTGTGAATCTCCACAAACATGAGAGGCCCTTCAGCATACAGTCATATATGTACATACAAAATATTAGGCTGATTTGTCCAGTAGTTTGTGAGACACACACACGAACACATGACCAAATGCACGACCCTTACGTCTGGTGGAGATGTTAATAATTGTTTTATCTTTTCCAAAATGATGAAATCATCACATTATAACGGTTTTACTTGATTGATCTGACACAACTTCACAACATGTAGTTACAACTCATCATATAAACCTGAAACTATAAGGTTGTGATGGATAACATGTTAGCAAACATCCTGCCTACTTACACATCCAGCAGACACAGAGCAACATTAGCCTCCTGAGACCTTGTGTCCTCATATGAGGACGTCATATCTTGGGTTTAACTGACCCTTATACTTTATTTACTTAACTTAGACCTGTTGTCTTCGTTCGTGGACACTTTTTGTGCCATCCAGTGGTAGTAGGAGCACAATACACTAATCCATCTAAAACAAGATGGCAGCCATCTCTGCCAAGTCAGTCTGCAGCTGATCCTGACACAAATGTGGACAAGGTCCAAAACCTGATGGTTGAAAATTGTTTATTTATGATTAATAATGTTTATAGTTTGATATGGCATCAAATTTGACCAATTTAGCAACAGTAACAAGCTAAGACACTGTTAATTAGGAAGTACTCGTTTGAAGACATTGGGACTTTATCATCATTGACAATGTTGAGTTTTTTATTTACGTATCGGGTCCTACTGATCTCAAATAGCTTGGACAAATTATAAATACATACCAAACAAAAGTTCAGGTCTCAAGAGGTTAGAGTCACATTTCTGGACACCTGTGAAAATCAAATACTCACCCTCATTTTAACTCTGGTTTGGTCTACGACAACTTCTGAACAAAAATATCTGGCTATTTAGCTGCTAAATGCTCCATTTTGTTCGTCAGCTAGGTGCTAATTTTGTTGCCATACAGCAGGTTTATCAGAGCTTTTTAGCTAAAAGCAGCCACAACCTGCTGCTGGAGACAGGCTTGATTAGAGCTGTGAGAATAAACTATACAGTAAACTAATGACATTAAAATATAGGTATTATTTTAATAATATGAAATTGATTGATTTGTGGAGGTTTAGCTAGTTGGTTGGTTAACTAGAGGTTTCACTGTTTTCCTGCTATGACAAATTGAAGTGAGTGCTATGTAAAAAGGTCTAATGCTCAGTAGAGCGTTTCAGCGTCAGATGTTGGAACATCTGTGCATTAACACCACTGAAAAAGCTGTATCGTCTGAGGGTTTCCACTCATTTGCATGAAGGACCTGCAGTCGGCAAAAAGAAGTGGAGCATCTGAGGAGACTGTCACTGGTTACCTTGAAACCCTTGTGTCTAGTGTGGGCTATTTAAAGATCCAGTGTGTAGGATGTAAGGGGATATCTTACATGACAGAAATAAAATATCATATAAAAAGTTTGTTTTCTTTTGTGTATAATCACCAAAAATCAAGACTAAATAAGGATTATGTCATTATTACCTTGGAACGAGCTGTTTATATTTACATAGGGAGCAGGTCCTCATCTACCAAGATCGTCCATGTTGCACCGCCATGTTTCTACATTAGCCCAGAACGGACAAACCAAACACTGGATCTAAATAAGGCCATTTTTGCATCAGCCACCATAATAAGAAGCCTCTTAAGAACGAGAGCATGGGAAAAATACTCATTGTAAGGACATAGAGTATCTGTATAATTGAAAGGTGTATATAGTGTATATAGATTTTATATATCCAAAATGTAGCAATCCCAAGCAACAGCAACATCACGACAAAGGAACACAAGAAGCTCGAAAAATACCAAGGGCTGAAAGAGGAGCTAGAAAAGATGTGGGGAGTAAAGGCAACAGTGGTGCCAGCAGTTATGGGAGCACTGGGGGCTGTGACCCACAAACTGGGAGAGTGACTCCAGAGGTGCAGTCCTAGGAACAGCTAAGATACTGAACCCTCAAACTCCCAGACCCCTGGTAGAGGCTCAGGTATCATTCTGCTTTTATCGCCAACTAATACATTTAAGAGCATTTTAATGTTCTTCAATATGAAGACTATTTTACATATTTTAATTCATCTGGCTAGATTAGCAGTATAGTTCTGCTCCATATCATTTTCATCACCGACTGGAGCTGAAGAGGAGAAGGTTGTGTTAAATGATTTGTGAATACAGCTCTAGAGAAAGCAGCTCCCTTCTGCCGTGTGACTGTGTCGAAGTGTATTGTTCTTCATTTTAATTTGCATTTGTTGCACCCCTGAAAACGGGGATATAAGAATCACGAGCATGAGGTAATGTTTCCTCAGCAAGAATGTTTCTCCAATCAATGCTTCAAAAAATACACACAGAGAAGTACAGGATAAACATTGTGTAGAGAGTACACATCACTTTTTCAGCTACAATATGCAGGACTTACCTGAGACATGAATCTCTGCTTTCTCAAATATTACTTAACAAAACGTCTTTGGCTCAAAAAACTTTTACAAAAGTCACTTAAGTGTGCGACAACACATTACTAATAAAAGTGCAAAATACACCACAATATGTGTACATGCTAGGTCACAATTTACACAAAATGGCGCTAACACTCGGCCCGGCTACGGGTCGGTCTAAGCTACAAAGCAGGGACCTCACTTACACAGGTTACTACATTCCACAGTTTACTCAAAGTGTCACACAAATTCTCTGGGAAACTCTTGAAATGTTAGCGAGTAATTACAGTCATGTTTAAATCTCTTTAACAACAACAACATACCTGAGAAACAGGTAGTAAGAATCACAAGAGTGAGGTGAGGCTCCCTTAATGAAAACGTTACTCTAGTGAGAAAAAAAATCGCCAGTTACTCTGGTATGTGGGCGGAGACAGAAACAATCGGTCTCAGGATCTTAGCTTAGACCATCTTGTAGAGCACAGAAACACTTTTACATCTTAAATTAATGGACTAAGAATAAAGTAACCAATGTAATATGAACAACCTCTTACCACTCACCCATTTTATCCAGTTTAATGATTTTAATCACGGTCATGTGTGTTTTAACCCTTATACTATTAAAAGTCACAAACTTCTCAGGCTTTTTAACAGGTTATGGCTATTATTCTTTAATTCATCACATATTTACGTGATTTTTTGGGGCTGAAGCATAACAACAGGGCCATTGCTGTTGCTGCTGCTTCCTGTTTTAAATTAAAAGCCCATGTTTCAAATTAAAAGCCCTATACTATTTCATATACAGTCCAGTCATGTACTAGGTTTTGACCTGATCTTGTTCTATGTTCAAAGTAAACAGTACTTGTAAGCATCAAATACATGTAGTGGAGTAAATAGTAAAATATATCTCTCTGAAATTAAGTGGAACAGAAGTATTAAGTTGCATAGAATGGACATACTTCAGTACAAGTACCTTAAAATTTTACATCCATACATCTATGACACTATTAACTACTGAGTAAGCTACTGTAGTTTTACTGTGCATGACTATAAACCATTCTGACATCTTTTAATACCAAATCAACATGAACCAGGCTTTTCTCATGGCAGACATTTTAACTTGTCGAACACATGTGAAACTGATAACATCAGTAATGGCTGAGTTTCATTTATGTGAGCCGGTGCCAGGGCCTCTGTTATTGTGCATGCTGATCTACTGGCAAAGCTTAAATAGAAGGGAGCCGTCGTCACTGCTTTCCTGCTATGACAAGTTGGAGTGAGCGTCGTGAAAAAGGTTTAATGCTCAGTGGAGTGTTTCGGCGTCAGATGTTGGAACATCTGTGCACTAATACCATCGAATAAACTGTATCATCTGAGGGTTTCCACTCATTTGCATATATGATCTGCGATCTGCAAAAAAAAAAAAGTGGAGTTTCTGAGGAGACTGTCATCAGTTACCTTGAGAGCCTTGTGCAGTTGGGAAGCATCGTATAAGGTAGATGGGGTCATCAGGGCCACGATCAGACTCTCAAACAGCCCACCGAGCTCTGATTTCAGAGCGCTGACCAAGTCCTGATGTGGGGAAGAGAAGATTAATGACGAGAGGAGCAAATACAGTCATAATTGTGTTTGTATTGAACCAAACTTTGCATCATCTAAATGCTGCATCATTAATGAAACAGAACTAATTAGTTATCTGGTGCTTTTATCTCCATCCAAACAACGGCCCTTAAAATAGAAACAGACAACTCCCCCACTCCTAAATGGTGTCCTGTTTACTTTGTTCATGATAAGAGTGCATATGAACACCTCTTTGTTGTGCTATCCACAACCTCTTCAGTAAAAACTGTCTCAGAGTTCCAAGTTCACGAGTTGTGATGTGTTGACTGACTGTTTTCAGAAACAGTGGAGTCCATGGATGGTCATTTTTCAGTGGATGGTAAGTTAATATTTTGTAATTTGAGTCATTCAGATGATTTATGTTTTTGTAATTTCACAATATCTCTGAAGAAGATGTTGATGTTCCTCATCTTTTCCCTCTGTCATTATGCCTTTGCATTTCCTGTATACATGACCTGCTCTCTAGCGCGCTAAGTTGTTAGCCTGGTTTACTTCTAGATGCCGACAGTGGCGTCCATGTTGCCATTGCTTAGCACTGGTGCTCTAATGACTTACGCATTTGGATGCCAAGCCTATTCTATACACTACTCCCCATGTCGTAACCATGAAGCTCACAAATTTATTGTTGGTGCCACTGATGCAAAGACCAACGGATTGCTTTGTGTTTTTCGAAAGAGCCTAGCAACCACAAACAACACAGGAAACACTGTATTTTGTTTTCCACAGGTACTTGGGTTGTTCCACCACCTGCCATTTTCACAACTGTGGGCAGTAACTTCAAAGAACTAACAGTGATTCTCTCTGGTGACTGAGGATAGCCACTGGTAGCTACCATAGACTGTATAAAAAAAATGGACATAGCTAACGTGACATCACCCATTGGTTTGTGAACTTATGCTTTGTACCGTCAAGTTTAGCATTTTGGATTTTTGGAGCCAGAAAGGCCACAAGGTGACAATATTTGGGCAAGAGGGTTGTGCTGCAGAGGATCTGTGGTGATGTCTTGTAGACAGTTTGTCACAGGCTGAAAAATGAAGCCAGCGCTTAAGTGCCAAAAACTGCAGTTCCTTGAATGGCCACTTGAGGCTGGCTCCTGAGGTGAATCAATCCCCACAGACACCTATGTTAAAATCATTAAAAATCAACGCTGATTAATTGCATTCCATGTTGCCCGTTGATCTGGTGTGTCATTGAAGGTCACAGTGGCTTTGTCACATGATGGAGGCAGACAAAATTACGCTGCTTAACTCCATGAGTGGAACATTTACATTAAAAAAAAAACACCCAGATGGAACTGCTGATAGGAACACAGTTCTCTGCAATTTCTGCAGTAAGGAATTTCTGTACCATCTGGGTACTTCAAGCCTGAAATATCACCTCAACACAAAGCATTTAGCAGCGAACCCTGAGATCCAAGCTAGCACAGACTCTGATGGTAGCAATAGCAGTCAACCTCGTCAAGCCACACTCGACCAGGCATTCAGACGCAAGCTGAGTAAGTCTACCTGTAATTGACTAACTAGATCCCTCAAAAATGGATTGCAATGGACTGCAGACCAGTTTGGGTGATAAAGGACAGGGAGACAACTGTGTCCAAACCCCAGCAGTTGCCAAAATCCATCTGCTGTAAGCCTGGGCATTTTAACATGGGGGTCTATGGGGATTGACTGGCTTCTGGAGCTTTTTGGCACTTCTGTGTTGGCTTAATTTTTCAGCCCTGCAGGTTCCCACTCTGGGAAGTGTTTTATTCCAGGATGTTGAGGGCATGATGAGCCCTACTCTCCCTCTGACTGGCTAGGACTGGTTGGTTCGGTTTGCCTTGGGGAACATAAAAGTGCCAACCAGCTTTCCTCTGCTTTGGTTGCTCAGTGGTCGATACACTTCCTTTGTGCTGTAAATCGAGCCTTCGTCTTCCCGGGAGATCGTACTCAGTGGCAGACAAAACTGCACAGTGAAAGTGAGGCTTACAGCTGATGGTGTCATTATTCTAATGGCCATTATATTGTGCAATTAACATAAACTTCATAAGTTAAAGCAAAAAACTTTTCTTTTTCCACTTTAAATGCATGAACCATAACAATTGTAACAGCACAGTGACAGGGAAATGGACACTTTAGGGATCTCAGAAATGGAGATTACCCTGAAATTATAATAATAAATAAGTGTTACAATATAAAGAGAGCATTTAGATTCCCGGAGTCAGAGATATGATGGCCTAAGTGACATCTCACTGCATTGCTGAGGAATGAGGATAATCATAAGAAATGTATCCACAGAAAAGAAAAATATATTTACTTTGCAATGTTTCCTGAAACTACCAGCTAATCAAACCGCACATATTACTCATAGATGACTTTATTGATTTCTGTATCACAAATTTGGGCATTGCTGGGAGCACAACCTAAATAATGTTAGTGAAAAGAGTGAGTAATAACCTGTGTGTGTGTGTGTGTGTGTGTGTGTGTGTGTGTGTGTGTGTGTGTGTACATAACACCCACGGGATCCTATCATCTCCTGTGCTTGGCCAGTTCAGTGTACCGTCAAACACTCATCTTTATAACAGCTCAAAATGTGAGACCTCTAACAGAAAATCTCCTTATTTCTAGATTACATAATCAATCTCTCTCTTCACGCAACAACCTTGTTTTCATTTCAAATTAAAGTCCCATAAAAGGTTTGTCAAAAGGTGCATTGCAGAGCAGAAATGACGCACTGTGGGTAATAGAAAAATTAAACTGGCGGCAAAGAAATAAGAGCATGAAGTCTGCAAGAAACATCAGTTCGTCTCTTTACTTTTTGGCACCAGTTCTCATTTCAAATGTTATTGCAAATGAGTAATTTAGGGAAGTGTCTCTTGCAAACATTCTATTTTATGACATGAATAGAAGAATATTCTCATTTTGATAAACACAGTAATATTCAGGGTTTTCCTCTCAAACTGCCTCATCTATTTATACTTCAGGCAGCATTTACATTTGCTTTTCAATAACCTCTACAAAAGGCAAATGAACTTGACGCCTTCAATCCACAGGTGGTCAGAAAATAACTTGACAGTGGGAGCAGGAGAGCGTAAAATGCCCAGGTCTCTTATAACTGACTGCAGTGCACTCTGGTCCACAGAGACGATAGGAAATTGGCCTTCCGGCTTCGTCTTCTATGAAACCCTGTCTGTGTGACTGTTGAATGTTAATACAAAATGTCAACTCTTGCTCCTTGATTCTGAATGACAGAAAAATGTGGTATGTTTTCGACACAGGTTTTAATAACAACTTAACACCGGATGCCAAGGTGGCGCCTTTTCATTTCAGTGGAGTTGCTCACCTGGCGCAGGCACCAAAAACATTTTCTAGCTTCCATGCTACTGCAGGTGTTTACATTCAGGGTTCCCACACATTTTCATGAATATAATTTCCAAACCCATGATAATGTTTTTTTTTCTTGCCCCACTTGCCTAGCATCAGATTCAAACCCTATTCAAACATAATTTTAGCTAGCTGGTGTACATGAAGAGAGAGACGAACCAAGGCAGAGAATTATGAAATGTATGTGATGGTAAGCTAAACATTGTCACACATCAATGCATATTATGCCTGGTTCACATGGGTCCATGTCATTGGTCTGACAGCTCATTGGTCCGACATCCCATTAGTCCGACGGTCCCCAGCGGGCGTATTTCTACCTTGATGGTGCGCCACGACCGGCTCTGGGTCAGCTGGGAAAGGCTTGAGGCGAAGCAGGCTCACAGCTTATGTGTTTGTCACTTTCTTTTTCATTTTAACCCACACCATGATCTTTTCCTGACCCTAACCAAGTGGTTTTTGTGCCTAAACCTAACCAGACCTTAACCACAGGGCATCATGATGATTTCGAAACTGACTTCTGAACAATGGGTTTAATATGGTCGGAACAATGGGTTGTCGGACCAATGGGCAGTTCCCATTCACATTACACGATATCAGCCTGATTATAGCCCGTCGCAGTGTCGTATGGTCTCAGCACGGATCGTGAACGACAATGCACGTCGTGCGCGGTGATCAGAGGTGGGTAGTAACTAGTTACATTTACTTGAGTAACTTTTTGGATAAATCGTACTTTTCAGAGTAGTTTTAATGCAAAATACTTTTTACTTTTACTTGAGTTATATTGTTTGAAAGCAACATTACTCTTACTTGAGTACAGTATTTGGCTACACTACACACCTCTGGCGGTGATCCATCCTTTTATCTCGTGTAGTGTGTCATAGTAGACAACAACACGGTGTCCCAACAGAAAGTCTAGCATTTTTGGTTTTCTTTTCATCGTTCACGACTGCACCCATCACAGCCATAAGTCTGACTAATAGAAACAGAGCAATCTGCTGTCGTAGACAATTGTACGTAAACAACATCCCAGAATTTTTTATATTTCCTCTAGGGATGTTACCACACAGAGTAAAATGGGAAAAATTATGTGAAATAGCAGATACACTTCAGCAACCCGCCGAGTATTCCCCCTGTTTTTCTATCATTACTTTTAATCCGCTCCCATTTGCCTTAATAATATTAATGCATCGCACTGTCATTTCAAACTCAACACTTCTTGTATCTGTTTCAAATTAAAAGCTCATTATAACTTCGGCTGAGAGAATCCCTTCAGTTTCTAAAGAGGCTTTTATTGTGAAACATTTGCAGGAACTTGTGGAGGATTCAGTGACTGTCATAGTTTGCATGCAGAACTTCAAATGTAGCTCCTGCCATCTGGTGGCACTTTTTACGTTACTACAATGACATTTCGGCTGGGACAGGGACAGGAACAGACACAGTGACTGAAATGACATTAATAATAATAAAAATAGGACAAGAATAACCTGATGACATCACGCACTTTGTGAAAGACAACCAGGGATGATTGGTCTTGGACCACTGTGTAGTGTATCATGTCTGTCGGCCAAGTCACGGCACAATTTTATGACCCCACAATCGCCTAATTTGACATAGTGACTGTTAGAACAGACAAAAATATTGTGTAGTGTGAACATGGCATGAGTGATATTAAGTCAGCAGCTGCAGAATATTAATTTGCCATTATGTTATGTTACATGGAAGATTATCTACGAAAGATTGCTGTAACAACTTCACTATACACAACAGAATTCCATGACTTTTCCAGGTTTTCCATGACTGAGGGAACCCTGTACATTATGTTCCCTACACTGCTACATGAAGCTACATGCTAATGTCAGGGGAACATTTAAACTCAGGGTGTATTCACTCACACTGCACTTTTCAAAGCGGACCAAACCTCCTGGACAATGTCATGCAGTTACAACAGCTGCTTGTTTGGGGGTGGTATTGCCCAAAACGACCACTGACTAGGAAGAAAAAAAAGCATGAGGAAGAAGAAAACCCAGTTCATCGATTGGGCAGGACTGAAAACGGCCGCCTTAGTCATCACAAAAACAATGGAGCAACACCAAATTAATGCAGTCTTGGGGTAAGCACCTGCACCTCTTCACTACCTCACGTCTGCCCACGAGACATTTTCTGACTTTTTTCTTTTTTTTACCTCTGCTTCTCCCGGTTCGAGCTATAGGCTTTATTTTTTCTCTACCCAAAATGCACTGCGCACTACGTCACTTCCTCTCTTTGGTGCACTTCCTCTCTCTCTCTGGTTCGCTGGATAGTCCGTTTGCATTTTCCACTGTAAGCATACCGCACCAGGGTTCACTTGCAAGTGAACAGAGACCCCCAGTTTTCAAGTGGACCAGGGTTTGCTCTTTTGGTCCGCACCAGAGTTCGAATGAGCGTTCACACCACTCCTAACGAACCGAACTATCCATGGAAGCGGACCAAGGTTCGCTTAAAGTGGTCCAAATAGCGCCAATGTGAATGCGTCCTTAGTTGCCAATCTCATAAATCTCTCTCCGATTTCAGATCATATTCCTGCTGCAAAATGTCAGCTTGTGTTTAGAAGCTTTACTTTAATTGTCAGGGTAAAAAGTGCTGCTTTACTCAGATACAGTCATTCCCCAGCTACAGTGACGGTGCAGAAATGCTGAAATATGGAAGACTTGGAAACACTGACAATTTAGAGCAGCATGGGCTTTTAAGGGAGGGGGGCTGAAAGGGAGTGAGAGTGTCTCAGGTTTAGTTTGAATACAGGTGTTGCAGCACAGACAATATAAGGAAATTAAAGTGTTTTTTTTTTTTTTACCATTAGAGCATGTAAACATGTTCTTCTAGAATCCTTAAATACAAGTATGAACATGAAAATGAGCATAATAGGTCCCCATTTAAGTGAAAGTAGCGATACAAGAATGCAGAAAATACGACACGAAAAGCAACAGTCCTGCTAAAGTAGAAGAAAAGCAAAATCAGCAACATGTACTTTAAGTGTTGAAAGTACTCCTGCTGCAGAAAGATGGCCTCTAAAGTAGGGAAGTAGTGTAGCATTGACAGACAGACAGACAAACACATTGCTCGGCCTTTTTGGGATTTGTTGACAATAAAAAATATATATAACACTGGCAGCCTCAGAGAAACAACAAAGGGACGGTATAAAGTGCACTTGAGCAGATATCTCTGTGCCCTGAATGCTGCTCGATTGAGTGTTACCCAGGTGATGTTGTTGAGTGAGGAGGACACAGTGATACGTTGACATGACCCGTAGCCATCCATCAGTGTGACGGCTGGTCGTCATCAGCTCTCTGTTTCATTCCCAGAGGCTCAGCTCACCTTTCCGTAGGCCTTCTTGTACGCTGCCTTAATTTGCTGGCGTTGATCGTTGCTGCGAGCGGTCAGGAGCATGAGGATCGCATCTTCATCCGTACCTGCACAAGAAGTATAAAAAAAAACACATTAAAGCTTCACATATAGAATAAAATACTCTCAACACACATCGTTTGAGATTTCAATAAAAACTAAAATCTGCTTTATATTCTAAATTCTTTCTTTTAGCATTATTCTGTTTACACCCATCATCTTGCAGGAGCATGCTTAGCAAAACCTGCTTGAGAATAATTGACAGCGTTCACTATACTATATGACAAGTCAACAAAGCAAGTGATCTAATAATCAATAGCTCCTGATAGTCAGGAGCACCTCAGAGAGAACAGGCTTCGATAGACAAACAGTTTGCAGCTTGTGTTATTTCCTCTGAGAGATCAGAATGTTAAATAAGTTCACGTCAGTCATGGCACAAAGCCCAGCTGATCCATAATGAAAGCTCTGACTATAGACGAAGGTCTGGTAATCATTGCTCTCCTCCTTTTTACTTCCTTTAGTCCCACATTAGTTGGATATTTCCTTATTACTCTTATTGTGAAAGTGCTGAACTGACAGGAAGCAGGGGTAAAACATAAAAGGGGAAAAGGTGCTGGTTGTCAGTGAGGTTATATTCTGCAGGAGAAGCATCAGTTTTAATGGTCACACTGTGTACGCCTGTAGTGCAGCTTTAACTTGATGACTGTCATCGGGCCCATTGATTTACACTAATGACTGCAGCTTCTCATTTTGCATCTCTGCAATTAAAATAACATCACCTGAGAGAGGGAAACAGGGTCGAAGGTCAGACCATTAAAAAGTAATCCAAATTAAGACACACACACATCTTCTAAATCAGGGGCGTCACTTCGAGCCACCTACAGCCCAATTTGATCTCAAGTGGCCGGACCTTTAAAACCATTACATAACAACCTAAAAATAACAACAACAGATTCTTCTTCTTTGCTTTTAGTGTAAAGAAGCAGAGTCCGAAAATGTCCATCCACTAGAAAACAGGAGATGAGCAGCCTGAGATGTCTTTTAGAAAAATAAGTGCAGTTTCAGTTTTCACATTCAGTTAGTCTACTACTCTGTCACTACATGTGCATTTTTCCATACATTTCCACTGGGGCTGCAAATTGTAAGCACTATCCTTAATCGATTATTGGTAAAACTAACAATCAATTAATCATGATTTTATAAAAACATAAAAACTTTGCTTATATCAAATAATAACAAATGTGTTTCCTCATTCAAAGCTCACAGCAACATATTGCATATATTCTGACAGCCTATCAATTGATCAATTTCACAGGTTCTATCAAATTCTTACCAACTGATTAATCGATCATCGATTAATCGTTATTATCCCTAGTTTCCACTCCTGTGTAGTAATGCTATAGACTGTATAAGATAATGCACGTAGCCATCGGGATGTCACCCACTGGTTTGTGAACTCCTGTTTTTAAACCTCAAGTTTGACATTTTGGCCGTCACCATCTTGGATATCTGGAGCCAGAAGTGACCATATTTGGATGAGAGGGTGAAGCTAACCCTAAAGCTAGCTGCTAGCTTGGTTAGCATGTTGCATTTACAGCTTTGGTAAACTGAGATAATGATCATGGTAATTTTCGCAAAAGAGAAAACAGGCTACAAAATATTTTAAGTGGAAGAACTGAACATCCAACGAATTAATGGGTCTTTTAGTACAACCAAACGTTGAACACGACTTTTTAGGTGACCAAAACATTAAAATTAACTTTCATGAACTGAAAACACTGAAATAGTGACAGCTACGGCTACGCCTATAATCTATGTGTCTAGAGTTATACACCATGGTTATGTTGCCTGACCAATGTTGTTGCACTGATGGCAACTTGTCAATGGACGGTATCCAACCGTCACTCAAAGCAGCCAGGCCGTTAATTATACATAACTTTTTTTTTTTTTTTAAGTTTTAATAATATTTAAACACTTGAGTTATTTAAAAATCCATCCCCTTTACAGTTGTCGTGAACGGGGAAATTAACCATAAAGACCAAACCCATTTTTTGTACCAGGCTGTAAACATGTTTAATTTCACTTTTAAGCTTGTTATTTTAACATGGGAGTCTATGGAGATTGACTCACTTTTGGAGCCAGCCTCAAGTGGCCATTAGAGGAACTGCAGTTTTTTTGACACTCTTGCATTGGATTCTTTTTCAGCCCTGGAAGTTGCCGCTCGAGTATTGCTGGCTTCACTGCACCAAACTACAGTGGAAACTACTGAGGAAGCAGATTACGTTATCACATGCTGTTCAGGGACTGTATGTTTGACACCCCTGCTTCAGTTATTTATCTGTCACAAATGGCCACAACAGATTTCTGACATTTGATTTTTAGATTTGCGCTTTCAATATGCATTCAATAGCCTTAAACAATGAATTAATTATAAACCTGCTGTTCACCAGTCTCACCAAAGATCCGTCACACATAACATTTTATAGGTGGTGGTGACCACAATACTAACCCTAACCCTTAAGGCACCTTTTACCCTCCTAGCTCATCATCAGTGTCACAATAAACTGTAATCCTGACAGTATTTAATAATGTTGAATAAAATATTTTACATGAAATATTGATGTATTTTCTACTTTTCTTGACATTATTCATTTTTCACTTCACTTAGAATAATGTTCCTTTGTAAGTTTTGCTAGTTTCAAACTATTATAACCATTTCAGTGTTTACCAGTCCGCCCTCTGCTTCTGCCATCATATTATACACTGTATTTTTCTTATTGTCTGTGTATCTCTGTGTTAGGTGGTACAGCAAGTGCTCATTACTGTGGTGTTTTTCCAGAGCATGTTGTGGAAATGACTCGAAATGCTCTAAGGTCCTATAAAGTTTAAAACTTGGTGATACTCCGTTTCTCGTCTAATTGGACCAAACACACACTTGGAAAGTAAAATTGTTTCACATGCACCAGAGGATTACACTAATTGTTCCAATGCACATGGAAAAGCTTCCCTGACAGCTGTGTCATTACTGTGTTGTGCTGATTTTCAAGAGGAGCAAAATAAGCATTAAACTGCACTGTATGGTAAACTTTTTAAATGATGATGTATTTATATACACTAATGACACATAAAGATATAAATGGGACACACACATGTCATTTGTGGGTATGTGCAAATAACTCAGCCAGTTCAGTCACCAGGAGAAAGTGTTGGCATTGTGTTTCTGCAAACCACAGATATGTTAGATTTGTATGTTTGATATTAAAGTGTCTAAAGTGACGTTGCTCAGATTACATGTAAAGAAGCTGAGTTTCTTATCAGCGGGGGGAGGGGATGGTGGATGGAGAGACACCTGAGACGGCTGCCAAGCTGCGGACCACTGTTTGAGACCAGCACTGGTATTTTTTAATGAGAGTTTAGGGCATTTCTAGCCGTGGTTTTTGTGACAAAAGCTGGATTGGATGGACAAAAACCTACTGAGGTTTGAATTAGTGATGAAGCGACTACGTGTACTGTATGCATTGTTGAGGGTGTTGGAGAATGACTGTATTATACGCAACTCCCACAACTTTAATTATGTCCTGAAATGAGCCCTTCAGAAGGGTCAGTGATCTCTGGCATCGCGTAGCCATTTGCCTTCTAAAATAAGTTATGAAAAAACGTTCCCGTCAGATATGTCCACCTTTGGTTGCAACACATTCTTACTCCCTACTTGTCAAATACGTCAGCTTGGTCAGTGGCCCTACACTTCAAACAGCGAAAGACAAACCCACCAATGCCATGTTGTAGTGAATAAATATGAGGAACATAGCAATAACCACATCTTAATTTATTATACATGAAAAATTCGCATTTTCTTTAGGGTTTCTGCTTCTGGACCAAAGGGCGAAGGGGCTGATCATGGCCTGATGTGTAGGTATGGTGGACAGGTCATCTAACTGTTGCAGCGGACGACATTTCATCAGAGTTATCTGAAAGTCGATGCATCTCATATAGATGCTGTGAGGTACCTTGTGTGTCTGTAACCGAAGCCAAGGGTCGCTGACCAGGCTGCTGAATTTGTTGCAAGGGTGTGGGTTTGCCCTGTCAAGATTTTGGGTGAACTTTTTCACGTTATCCTCCTTCTAACAGATCTGTGCATGAAATAACAGGACAAATCGTGTCTCATCAGTTTAGTAAGGGACAGTGCAGTTTATTTTTCAGTCCTGGACGATCACAAAAGTGTTTACAGTTAGATTTGGTATTCAACACACAGCTACTTAAACTTTGCCTCATCCAGAGAGAGTCCCAATAGGGTTCTGTGTCTGTAAGATGGATAGGACAGGTAGTTTTTATCTTGAAATATTATGACTTAATTCTCATTAAATTGAGTTTATTTTTGTAATAATAAAACTTTTCTCAAAATATTAAAACTTAATTCTCAACTTCTCAGAAAACAGATACGGGGGATATGTTAAGAACGTGCAGAAAGTTTTGAAGAAGAGCAGAAATCTTGCTGAAACACATGTGAGCTATTAAAGTCCAGGAGTTTATAAATTAATTTAAATAAATGAATTTATCATTGATGCGAATAGGTGCCACATACAAATATAAAGAGGTTATTTCCCTAAAAAAAGACAGAAAGGAGGAGGGAAAAGTAAACTATGCCTACATGTGTGCTGACAGCAGGGATAACATTGAATTAGAGAAGTTGATCTACAGAGGAATAAATATTTGCTTTCAAGTCTTTATTCTTACCTTACTGCATTATATCCCATTATCTTTTCAGATTTTGAATGGTCACCTGTCACCTGAATTTTTATTTTCCACATTTCCACCACAAATTGGGACATGAATCTTTACCAGAATGCAGGAAATGAAGTGCCGGATGCTCAAATTTCCTGGGGGAGGACCCCCAAATCCCCAACTTGATATGTGTCCCCACCAATGTTTAAATGAAACCTACACCCTTGATGTGATGCCCTGGGAATGAGACCAGGTTGACCTTGAGATACAACACATCCTGATGTGTGAGTGTGAAAATTAAAAGCAGTGGGAAAAGGTTAAAGAAACTGACCGATTCCTTTCATGGCTTTGTGGAGAATTTCAGCATCATGTTTGGCGTTGAAGTTGACGAAAGGTCTCACGCTGCCTCTGTGCGCCTGTGGGAGGATGGCAACAAAAAATAAATTATAAATGTGTTTTTAACAGAAATAGTTTTCTTTGCTCTGGTTTGGTAAACTGCGGTTCTGTGTCTCCATGTGCTGAAACAAGCTCTGACCTCCTGAAACCAACAAACCTGTGATGATGTAATGAGATGTAATGTTTTTACACATACTTTAATTGTTCAGTTAAACGCTGTGCAAATCAAATGATAATCACCTGTCAGGTAATATGTAAAGTGAGCTTCCATGCCTTTGAGATGCAAAAATGTATATTGTTTCAACAGAAGGTTTAAATGCTCTCTGATGGTCTGTGTTTCAAGTGCTTCCCTACCCTAAGAGGAATAAAATCATGGGCATAAAAATTTAAAGATACAGAATATTACTGTGAATGACTGCACTATAAAAAAAATATTGCTCCAGGCCATCAAAACCCACCTGGGTCTAAATGTCGCCAGTTCAAATTTAAGGCAGGTAATGTAAGTATAATTTAAATCAAGTCTGGCTGCTGCTTTATGCAATGAAAGCAATTTAAAAACTGTGCCGTGTTTTAGATTGTTCTACGGGGAAAAATGTCATTTGAAGAAAAAGCAATAAAACATCTGCCTCAGCTGCAGCTTTGTTCCAAACTCTGAGCAGGTGGACGAATATTGTCTCCCCCATTCTCTCAGCAAAGGTTTTGGTTTTATTATCTCTTGTTGGTTGTCTGTTTTCAAGAGTGCAGCCTCTTTTTGCAACATGATGATGTTTACCTAGAAGTGCCCCTCTAATATGTCACTGTCACAGCTTTGATCCTGCCTGCATGCATCATGAAGCTGGCAAAAGCACAATAAAACACAACACACCTTTTTTTCCAACAGTAAATCCATCACAAGCTATTTTTCCAAACTCACATTCAGTACTATGATGTGAGTCAACATGTATTGTTCATTCAGTTTCCTGTCTTTTATTACAACATTAAGTATTGTTTTTCTACAAAGACTTAAGTGTTCGCTGTCAAACTGTCAAACTGTCTCTTTCAGTTGTGGTAATGTAACGCACCACTTTGATTCAAGCTGAAATATCTTCACTACTATTGGAAGGATTGTCATGAAATGTGGTATAGATGTTTCAAAGTCCAGATGAAAGTGAAACAGGCAGGAAATAACATTAGAAGGAATTTAAATGACCCTTCGCTAAGTCCCGCCCCTGGACACAGACTGGCCAATCATAATGTAGCATCGGGCCAGCTCAGACAACAACACAGCTGTGCTCCACTGACTCTAATGCAGTTGTTTCAGATTTCCTTCATTTTCAGGCTGGTTTTGTGGATGTGGAGCTAAATGTTGTGCCTGGGGCACGTCGTGTATTAATGATACTCGTTACCTGGAGAGGTTGGAAAAAGATATACGTTTCTTCCCTGTTCCAAAACCAAAATCAAACCCTGAAAAGTGTAGGGTTAGCTAGCTAGCTACTGAAGATATAGCCTACTGAATGTATACACATGCTGCTTTTGCTTTGTAATGATTATAACAGTGAAAAAAGACCAACCCTGCTGTACAGGAACCAGTGAAGGGAAGCGTTTATATTCATTGTCTTGTGTGGCGATCAGCAGTGATGTGGTGGTTCACTTTTACACTGTGATCTGTAGCCTATAGTTTGACTTTAGCTTCTAACTATCTTTGTCTTTTTAACCTGTTGTTGCTGCTGAGTCAGTTTGACATCCTCCATTTTTTCTAACATTTTCAACCACTTAGCCGAAGCTGGGTAGTAGGGGCAGGCTGAGCAAAGTATTCTAGATGTCCCTCTCCCCAGTTACGCTTTCCAGCTCCTCCTTGGGGACCCCGAGGCATTCCCAGGCCAGATGAGATATATAATCCTTCCAGGGTGTTCTGAGTCTGCCCCAGGGCCTTCAACCATTGGCATGTGCCCAGGAGGATCCTTATCAGATGCCCGAACCACCTCAACTGACCCCTTTCGATGCAAAGGAGCAGCGGCTCTACTTCGAGCTCCCTCTGGATGTCCGAGCTCCTCACCCTATCTCTAAGGCTGAGCCCAGCCACCCGTCTGAGGAAACTCCTTTCGGCTGCTTGTATCCGCTACCTCATTCTTTCTGTCATTACCCATAGCTTATGACCATAGGTGAGGGTTGGGACATAGATGGGCTAGTAAATCAAAAGCTTTGCCTTCTGGCTGAGCTCTCTCTGAGAGAGAGTCCAGCACAACGCCTGCATCACTGCAGATGCTGCGCCAAACTGCCGATTCATCTCATGCTCCATTCTACCCTCACTCGTGAACAAGACCCCGAGATACTTAAACTCCCTCGCTTGGGGCAGTACCTCTCTCCCAACCCACTGTTTTCTGACTATGGCCTCAGACTTAGAGGTGCTGACTCTCATCCTAACCACTTCACACTCGGCTGCAAACCACCCCAGGGCATGCTGGAGGTCACGATGCGATGAAGCCACAACCACATAAAAAAAAATCAAAACTCTTTGTATAAATGATATCGATGTATCTTGAATCTTTTAGTTCTACATTGTGCATCAATAAATCCTGTCTTCTCGACTGTCATAGTCACTGTAGTTTTGAATAGGCCCTTTAAACAAGATGGATACTGTCTTTTTTTTTTTTTTACTTGTTTTTAGCAGCGGTTAAAGCAGAGTCAGTGCTAATCAAAAAGAATGGCTGTTTTATTAACTGTTAGAGTGCCATCAGGGAGCGTTGTCTCCCAACTGTCCTTTGATTAAATTGAAACCCAGTGTGAACACAATAGACGCACACACCTGGAGTTTCCATGCACGTGGTAATACAATATGGTGCAAATTAGACCACAGTCATCATCTTAAGTTCTTGCCTTCACTTTACATCTTAAACCAACGTATCCTCATCAGACAGTCTGAGATCTCTCAACAAGCTCGAGAGGATAAAATCAAATCAAGGATATCAAATGAAGCTGCTGCTTCTCTTTGGTGCCAATGGGAGTATACAGTGCTGCACGACTCATACTGATGTTTTACTAATGAGAGCATTGTTGTATAAAGTCCTTTTAGTGAATTGGGGATCATACAGGGGTGGGGGCATCTGTACACATCAGGTCATCCCAGTGTAGGAGAAATGAGGATTCAATCAAATTTATGGAAACATAAAACATCTAGGGTTGCATGCAAATCAGAGGCTGGTGCTGACAGTCATTTATGATGATGTTTTGTTTAAAACTGATCATGCAGCACAGGTCTCAGTGTGGCTTGAAAAGGCAGTGACCTTTCAACAGTCGAGACACACTTCATTACACAAACATTGGCTCTGGTGCTGCGGCTGAACAACAATAGTCTTAATTCCAACTATTTTGTGCCAAGCAAAGTTGTTTCTTGGCAGTTCTCATTATTGCCTTTAATTTGAGGACATTTAAAAGAAAATAAAACAAAAGCAGGTAACACTCACCATCCTTTTTGCTGATTGAAGACAACCGTCATAAACTGAAAGACAGTGGAGCAGATTCCTGATTAAAATGGGCAGCATTAGCAAGCAGTGGTGGAATGTAACTAAAATTTACTGAAGTACAAATTCAAGGTACTTTTACTTTACTTAATTATTTCCATTTTTATGCAAATTAATACTTCTTCTTTACAACATCTCATTGTACATTTATGCCAAGCCTGGTCTCACTCTGAACTCGTCAAAATCCGGCGCTTGGGCAGTGACTTGCAGTGTCAGAAACCAACAAAAAAAGGCGTCCTTTAACGTCGGCATGATACGCGGCCAGTTGCAGTTATGTTTAACAAAGCCCAGTGGCATCTGGGGGAAATGCAGCAGGACAAGGTCGAAAGTTAAGGCAGCGAAAGTCCGACTGCGACAGGTGGGACGGGTGGTGGATGGGTCCAACAAACAAAAAATATCACTTTGTCAATCAAGTAATCGTGTACTTTTTACGGCACTATATTTGTCTGACAGCTTGAGTTACTTTTTAGATTAAAATATTTTAATATCTCCAAATCTTTAAAAACCTTATTGGATCAGCTGAAAAATGCATCGTCACAAAGCTGAAAACAGGGCTGTTTTTCTGACACCATGAAAGGTTGACTTTTTAGAGATATGTGGTTCTCACTGGACAGCCACGCTACAAACACAGACATATCTCATAGAATATGAAGCATTGCTGTAAATTGAACCACCCAACAGTATGTAAAGGAGTTAAAATAAGAACATTCACATTAACACAAAAGTACATTTTGCTGATAATACTTATATACTTTAACTTAGGTATGGTTTGAATTCAGGACCTTAAGTATTTTCAGTGTGGTATTCATATTTTTATTTAAGTAAAGGATCTGAATACTTCTCCCACCATTGTTAGTATGTAATTGTCTAAAAATAAAGCATCAGTCCAGAGAAATAAGTAACTGGAAGTGATCTTACCAACAGGTGTGCTTCTTCTCTCTCCTCGTAGGTGATCTCTGCCTCAGGTAGAAGCTCTTTGTTGTCTGCTGCTGGCTGCTGTGGGCGTCTGCAGCTACACAGAGGAAAGCTGACAAGACACACTTCCTCATCCGCATGCAGTGTTGTCTTTCACTTGCTGTCAGTCAAACAGATCATGGCCTTGTGCACTCAACTTCTTTGTATGTCCTTCAAAGAGGGACAAGGCTTAAACATTTCTCTCATAGTGTGTGTGCCCAGCATCCAGAGAGTGGTTGTTGTAGATAGTGGGGGCTATTTTCAATAAAAGATCCAGCTTTCTTTCTATATCCATGGCGCAGATCCCAGCACCAGGGGTCACAGCAGTCTGGTGACCAGCAGCAGCGCTGGGTCTAATCTGTGTAACAGCAGCAACAGAAAGTTGGCTAATCAGGCAAGGAGTCAGTGGGCCAGGATCAGATTCAGACCCCTGGAGCAGGCTGAATTGGAATTACAACTGCGGCTAAGGTCTGTCTCTGGAACTGCTGTCCATTCTCCTCCTCGCAAAGTCAGTGTCCTACCAGGGGTCAGGGAGGTTGTGTTGGGTACCAGTCATGTCTTGACTCTATTCTTAGCTAATGTTAGCTAACTGTTGCATGCTGTTAGCACTGTAGTGGACCTGAAAAGAGTAAAGGCACTCGGGAAGGCACATTAACATAACATCATTTGGATTTAACTGGAAAATTTGTCCTGAGGCCTTTACATAGCCGTCAGTCCACAGGCTGTAAAAGGCCACAGAGAAGGGGGGTCTCAGTTTTTAAGTTACATTACAGACCAATCACCCAATGGCAATAAAAATCTATTAATAACTACCCAGTGATGGCAATGTCGGCAGCCGGCACTGGGCCAGATTCGGCCTGATTCTGGGGCGTCATTCATACAGAGTCTCAGCTGAATCAAGCAACTGGATGCGGCCTGGCTAATTTCATCCAGCAATGCCGAGTTTGTGCTGATGCTGGGCCAGTTCATTTCTGATAACGGCCTGGAATTGGGCCAGCTCATTTGGCCCAATTCTAGGGCGTCATTCATGCCGAGTCTCAGCCACACTGGGCAACTGGACCCAGCCTGGCTAATTTCATCTGGCATTCAGAGTTCAGGCCGATTCTGGGACAGGTCATTTTGGCTACCTGGGTTATATACTGTTACTCCACTACAAATAAATGTAGCAGAGTAAAAGTTTACGACATTTCCCTCTGAAACATGATTGAGTGTTTAAAGTGGGATGAAATGAAAAAACTTGAGAAAAGTACAAGTATCTCAAATTTGTACTTATGTAAATGAGTAAATGCACTTAGTTGCTTCCACCACTCATTACATTTTCTAAGCAAATGTCACTAATCTGCGAAAGAGGCTGTTCATTGCTTTAAAATAATTAATCATTTTGGAGTGAGACTTAATGTAACATGTAATTTTTAATTAGATATCTTTTCTGTTTTGCCCTTTACGTCATTCAGTTTATGTCTCATTTCTGAGGACATGTTTTCAAGCAGTGCTCAATCCAAACATGTGTTCTGGCAAAGACGCAATAACAAACAGGAGATGCTTGATGCCTGATAGGGGCGAAGGGATCAGCAGAGCGAAGCGCCGAGGTGCAGCTCACATATCATCGTTGCTGTCCTCGTCCCTGCAAACCTTAATTAAAGTGAGCACTTGTGAGGAGATGAGAGTGTGAAAACCATCTCTCAGGTTATCCAGTTACGGATGCTCGCCGTTTCATCTCGCAGCCTCCCAGACTGACACAGAGCCAGCTTCCTTTAATCACCAGTATACAAGCAGCGAATGACACATTTATCAGATTAAGTGCTGAGTTATTCTTTTCCACATAAATCTGGGAGGGTTGTTAGTCCACAAGCATCCGGCTTGATCATGCTAAAGGAATCATGTGCTGGTTTGCATATCAAATGTCATTTAAATATTCAATATCATTGAGAGCGAGAATAAGACAGTGCTCCGATTTGACCTTTTAAAGCAAGATTGTAGTGCTTTCCTTGGCTTTCTTTTTTATTATCTGCATTAAGAATCAAGCATCCAGTCTTCAAGGTCTCATTATGAGTTAAGCGGATGGTTTTTGTTAAAACTAAAGTACTGGGATGATGGGTATAATTCCTTTTACTCTATCCAAACATCTTATTACTTCCACATGATAGAAACTGAAAAGCTAGGCAACCCTTAATGTTTGATGTAAAGGTGGAGTCTGCAATTCTAATCCACTGCAATTTGTGTCAAATTCAGTGAATATCTCCTCACTGTCCGCTAGCTGTTAGATCTGTGTTTGCATTGCAAAAAATACAGTGTTCATACAAAGCTCGAGGTCTCAAGCAGATGCACAACTGTCTTAAACCTGCAATCTTTCTAGTGGCCAGCAGAGGGCGACTCCACTAGTTGCAAAAAAAAAAAAAAAAAATCACAATGAAGTGGGATATGTTTTGGGGCGTGGCTATCTTCCCAGGCAACATTTATATGTGGGATCCATGTAGATAGTAAATGGGTTGAAAAATGGGCCCTACATGGGATTGTCCATGTACATTGATTGTATCGTCTCTGAGGAGCTGCCCATTACTGATCACAACTGCATCCTGTTTAATTTGTCTATTATTTCTGATTGTTCAACCAGCAAGCGTACAAAACTCACCCGTATGTTAAATAACCTCTCTGCTGAGAAATTCTCATTCGCTTTTAACAGTGTGGCGCAGCCTGTTAGTATTAATGTTGACGTTGACTCCCAAGTTTTAACTTTTAACTCACACTGCTCTGCTATTCTTGATAAGATTGCTCCTTTAAAGCCTCGAACTATCCCCGCAGCTAATCCCACTCCCTGGCTGAACGACGACATCCGCTGCCTTCGTCGTAAATGTCGGAGAGCTGAGCGCTTGTGGAAATCAAGCAAGCTTCATGTACATCGTCTTTATTTTAAAGAACTGTTAGCTGAATTCAATTCTGTTGTTAGGGTAGCCAGAGCCTCTTATTTTAAAAATCTCATCATCTCCAACAAGAGAAATCCCAGGGTCATTTTTGACACTATAAGTAGCATTACTGGTGCGCAACCGCCTGCTCTACCTGTGTCCTCTGATGAGGACTGTAGCAATTTTTTAATGTATTTTGTGAATAAGGTTGCCAGTGTCAAGGCCAGTATAACACCCTCCTCCTCCTCCCTTCCTGATCCTCCCAAACAACAGTCAATTATTGACAATTTCTCACCTGTCTCCTTACAAGACTTAGCAGATCTTGTGTGCACTATGAAGATCTCTTCTAGTCCGCTGGATATCCTGCCCACAACTTTGCTGAAAAATGTTTTCAGCACTATTGGTCCATCTCTGCTCTCCATAATCAATAGCTCACTGGTTTCTGGTCGTGTCCCGTCCCATTTCAAGCAAGCGGTTGTTCAGCCGCTTCTCAAAAAGCCCAATCTGGACCCCGATGTTCTTAGTAACTACCGGCCCATTTCCAAGTTGCCCTTTGTATCTAAGATTCTAGAAAAAGCAGTTGCAAACCAGTTAGTGACAGCGTTGAACAGTTACAATATCTTAGATAAATTTCAGTCCGGTTATCGTCAGTTACATTCCACAGAAACTGCTCTTCTCAGGGTCTCCAATGACATCATGATGGCCTCCGATGCCGGTAAATCCACTATCCTGGTTCTGCTTGATCTCAGTGCAGCCTTTGACACTGTTGATCACCACATCCTTTTAGACAGGCTGAGGGACAGGGTAGGAATCTCAGGGACCGCTCTTCATTGGTTTAAATCCTATCTGTCTGATCGATCCTTTTCTGTGGCTGTTGGCCCTCATAAATCAGAGTTTGCCCCCCTTTCTTGCGGGGTGCCCCAAGGTTCAGTGCTTGGGCCTATCCTCTTTACGCTATACATGCTCCCTCTCAGAGATGTCATCAGCAATTTTGAAGGTATCTCATACCATATGTATGCAGATGACCTCCAGTTATATTTTTCTTTTAACCCTGATAGGACCGATGGAATTGACTCACTGTACGATTGTATGAATGTAATTAAGGACTGGATGTCTTCTAACTCCCTTCAGTTGAACGCAGCTAAAACTGAGATTTTAATTATTGCACCTGACGCCTCAGCATCTAAAGTGGCCAGCTGCTTAGGGTCCCTCAGTGCAAATGTGCGCCCCAAGTTGAGAAACCTTGGGGTCACATTTGATCAGGCCATGCTCTTCGATGACCACATCAAAACTGTCACTCGCTCCTGCTTTTTCCACCTCAAAAACATTTCCAAACTCAGATCCATGTTAACTTATTCCGAGCTAGAAATGATCATCCATGCTTTTATTTCCTCACGTCTGGATTACTGTAATTCTCTTTTCACCTGTCTAAATAAAACTTCATTAGACCGCCTCCAGCTGGTCCAGAACGCTGCCGCCAGGCTTCTGTCCAGATCTCATAAGTTCACTCACATCACTCCAGTCCTGGCATCCCTGCACTGGCTCCCTGTTAATTTCAGGATCCAGCACAAGATTCTAACCATCACTTACAGAGCCCTCCATGGTCAAGCACCTGCATACTTGACGGATCTGGTGTCCTTTCACTGTCCTGTCAGGTCACTGCGGTCCACTGAAGGCCACCTACTTACTGTCCCTCACACAAGATTAAAGACGAAAGGTGATAGAGCCTTTAAGGCTGTTGCACCGAAATGGTGGAATGCACTACCTCATGAGCTGAGAGCAGCCTCTTCCGTGGACATTTTTAAAAAGCAGTTAAAAACATATCTGTTTAGGCTTGCGCTCCATTAACTGTCCATTATATCATCTCTGTATTTCGCTGCACTTTACTTTTTATTTGTTTTTGTGTATTTTGCATTGTTTCTGTTATTGTATTTTTTGTATTTTATCTTGTGAAGCACTTTGTGAGTCCTCTCTGTGAGAAGTGCTATATAAATAAATTTACTTACTTACTTACTTACTTACTTACTTACTTACATCTATGGCTTTACCCAAGTGGACCCAACATGGTTATGCTAGGGCCTCCTGGGTACCAAGTGGGTATGGGCCCAAAATGGGGATCTTATATGGGGCCCACTTGGGTAAAC